AGTCGGTGGGTTCTCATGTTCCTGTGTTGGAGCCACTGTCGGCGGGCTCCCCTGTTCCTGATCGGGAGCCGCAATCGGCGGGCTCCCCTGTTCCTGATCGGGAGCCGCAATCGGCGGGCTCCCCTGTTCCTGATCGGGAGCTGCAATCGGCGGGCTCCCCTGCTCCAGAGCCGCAATCAGCGGGCTCCCTTGCTCCAGAGCCGCAATCGGCGGGCTCCCCTGCTCCAGAGCCGCAATCGGCGGGCTCCCCTGCTCCAGAGCCGCAATCGGCGTGCTCTCCAGTTCCTGACCCGGACCCGCAATTGGCGGGCTCCTCGGTTCCAGACCCTGTTCCAGAACCGCAGTCGGCGGTCTCTTCAGAGCCTCCTCCAGAGCCGCACTCGGCGGTCTCTTCAGAGCCTCCTCCAGAGCCGCAGTCGGCGGTCTCTTCAGAGCCTCCTCCTGAGCCGCAGTCGGCAGTCGCTACAGAGCCTCCTCCAGAGCCGCACTCGGCGGTCTCCCCAGAGCCTCCTCCAGAGCCGCACTCGGCGGTCTCCCCAGAGCCTCCTCCAGAGCCGCACTCGGCGGTCTCCTCAGAGCCTCCTCCTGAGCCGCAGTCGGCGGTCGCTACAGAGCCTGAGCTGCCGAGGAGGGGACGGGGTACCCCGTGGGGGTACCTGCTGAAGTTTGGGCGTCTTCCTCCTGAGAAGGTTCTTCACCTTCGGCCCCGTGGCAGACCTCCAGAGCGTCAGCTTCGCCTTCGGCCTCGCGGCAGACCTCCAGAGCGTCAGCTTCGCCTTCAGCCTCGCGGCAGACCTCCTGAGCGTCAGCTTCACCGCCGACCCCGTGGCAGACCCCCAGAGTGTCAGCGTCGCCTTCGACCCCGCTGCCGGCCACCTAAGGCTCTGCTCCGTTGCCGGATCGTAGGCCGGCCTCCTGAACCTCAACCGTGCCTCCGGCCCGGCGGTGGTCCCCCTAAGACGCTGCTCCGCCTTCATCTCAACGGTCGACCTCCTGAGCAGCAACTACGCCTCCGCCGTCGGCCCCATGGCAGGCCACCTGAGACTGTGTCCTGCTGCCGGTCCCTCGGCCGGCCACCTGAGACTCTGTCCCGCTGCCGGTCCCTCGGCCGGGCACCTGAGACTCAGTCCCGCTGCCGGTCCCTCGGCCGGCCACCAGAGACTTTGCCCAAGAAATTTTTGGGGTTTTCTTTTGTTTTCGTCCACCATAAGTGGATCGTTTTTTGTTCTGGACTCTGTTTTAATTTTCTGCCCTCCTGGCCTGTTTCCCCCTTCGCCCACCCTGGGTGGGTTGTTTTTTCGTTTTCTGGACTCTGTTTTTTGTTGTTTCTGGCCCTCCTCGCCCTAGTGCCCCCTCCGCCCGCCCTGGGTGGGTTGTTTTTTGTTTGTTTTTTGGACCTTTTTTTTTCAGGGGGTGTCTGGAATCCGCCCTTGAGGGGGGGGCTCTGTTGGGATCCTCAGGCTTGCCCACCAGAGGGCGCCGAGGATCCTCTTCTGCTCTCTTTGTCTTTTCTTTAGGGCTGGAGTCACTGTTAAGGTTCTGGAGATTACCCTCTGCCTCCAGCAGAGTGCGCCGTGGGTCCTCCTGAGCTGAGCCTCCCACACACCTGTGGCTGATCTACTAATCAGGAGGACCACAGTATTTAAGCTGCCTTCAAACCTTGATTCCACGCCGCAGTGTTGATCTTAGTTGGAATCCTGCCTCCTCGTGAAGCTCTGGATGAGCTTAACCTCCTGTCTCCTTGTGAAGCTCTGGATGAGCTTAACCACCAGTCTCCTTGTGAAGCTCAGGGAGAGCACCCTCACTGGAACCCTGTCTCTGGTCTGCAGCTCTGGGAGAGCTGCGTCACAGGAAACCAGTCCCAAGCCAGAAGCTCTTGGAAAGCCTAACCTGCTAATCTGCCCTGGTGAGCCAACCCGAAGATTCCCACGTGGATGAAACCTGATGACTTCTTTGAGGAGTTTCCCCAGAGGTTCCCATGTGGATTATCCCCTGTTGTTCTCTGTGTTGAGCTGGAAGCTCAGATCCTAGCTAGCCTTGCTAAGCACACAGCTAGAGGCTTAGCCCCTCATGATCTCAGTTAACCAGCCATCCCCCGTTCCCTGCACAGACCCCAGTGAACCAGCCCCCGGACTGAACTGTTCCTTTTTATTTCTATGTGCTTGTGTCTTTAAATAAACTCTTTGGACTTTTACCAGCGTTCTCCGTGTGTGTTCTGCATCTTGGGCTTTACTCTCAGAAACCCAATCATGACAGTTTTGACTTTATGAGCACAATAAACCAACACCGGTAACCTGACTGAGCCCTGTCACAAGAAGTATAAGTACAGAAGTCATAATCCAAAATCGACAAGAAACTCAGGAACAAAAAACTAGGAGACGCTGGTGGGGAAATAAACTGAAGGAATGATAAGAATCCATCAACGAGTAACTACAGAGGAGGCGTATATTTGCTAAACGGAACAAAGAATGGAGCAATCAGCTGATTGGGAGCAGGTGTGGACAGGAGGATCTAGAAGGGAGCTAGAGGAAAGGAGAATGATACAAGGGGGCGACAGAGAGTAAACAAGAAATACAACAGCGCTCATATATAGCTAGAAAATAATCTGGACACTAAATGGAAAAGAAACCAATGACATGGAAAACACAGAATGACATGAATCAAAGTGTAACTGAAAACTCAAAACGAAAACTAAAACAGAACCAAAAAAATCCCGAAACGGCTGAATCATGACCATATTCATAATCTATTTAATATTGATGTTTTATAATTCAATATACATCTCAGTCTATGAAAACAGCATTTGTCACTCATTGATGTTTGAGGATTTATGTAGTATATGGGGTTTTCAACTCTGATTTATATTTCTGTTATTCTATCTCACTGTCTATTTTTACTCTCTTTAGTTGTTTAATAATTTATTTTTTCTTGTATATGTGCAGCACTTCTTCACGGTTGTTTTAAAGTGCTTCATAAATAAGTAAAGTAGTAGTGGTAGTAGTAATAGTAATGTCTTTGTTTTATTTTGGAGAAGTTTTATTAAAAGGGAGAAATAATAAAATAATTTTCATAAGTTTCTTCAGGCATCTGTTGTGTCCATTCTTAGTCTTCCTGAGGCTTTTAATGTGTTAATCTCAGAATTAAATCATCTTTAAGAAAAACATACTGATGTAAAAGTTTTGATTTATGTGGAAACTGAAACCTGAATATTTTTAGCATCTCTAAACTTTAAGGGATTAAATATTAAACCTGTTTCTGTTTCTGCACGGCTGGAAGTCATCCCTTAATGGGAATGATTGTAAAGTCTAGCAGTCAAAAATGAGGAGCAATATGGTGGCTTATTTAGAAAATGAGGGGGTTATTTTTCACTATTTCATTTGTTCATTTACAAAAATCTATGTTCCAAATTAAATATTTAGATTGTAGGTTAAAACATTTCTCAGTTGGTTAAATATTTATTTATCAAACTAAATATTTATTTAATAACCTAAATATTAGCTAGCACCAAGCTAGCTAAATATTTAGCTTGTTAAAGTTGTAGTGGAGGATGCTCTTTTTCCAGGTGGATCATCTAAATCAGTGGTCCTCCAAACTGTCAATCATTCTGGTGATATGTTTACATAAGGCTGTCCTACGTAGGGGTGTGGGGAAAAAATCGCTTTCAGGATGCATCGTGATATTTGGCTACTCAATATAATATCTATTTTTCAGTTCCAAGTTTCGATAAAAAAAAAAAACAAAAAAAAAACATTTTACCTAAAACAGTCAGGGAAAATGGGCTATCTGCCCGCCATTGTGGCAGGTGGCGCTATGGAGCCCGTCTGCTGTGAGGCGCAGCGCCCTATCTGTAGTTGAAGCGGTCACCGTGGAAGACATGGACCGATTAAACCCAAACAACATGGATACCAAAATAACTCAATAATCAATATCTTCTGATGAACATATAGATTACTTGCTTTTTTAGCTATACATTTAATTTTGATAGATGAGAAAAATACTGCAATATATAATGATATTACAATATCCTGATAATATCGTATCATGACTCAGGTATCGGGAGACGAATCGTATCGCAACACCTATGCCAATATACTCACCCCTACCTGCTTTTTCCCATTTTCACCAGTGGTGAGTCTGAAATTGTAGAGAAATCTTCTTTTGGAAAGTAAGCTTGTATGAGTGATGCAAACAGCAACATTTAAACAGAGCGTGCACGAGGAGAAATGGGCTTGTGCACGCTATCACATGTGATTAATAGGCGTTCCCTCTACGGAGCAGGTACAGGGTTGCACATGTGCATTTCTTTTTTAAATGGAGGGGGTGTTTCTTTTTCAAAAATTTGCGAAAACGCATATTAATTATTTAGTTTGTCAAATTAATATTTTGCTCCAAAATAAATATTTTGTTTGCAAATTAAATATTTAGCTAAATATTTTATTAACAAAGTAAATGTATTTAGAATAGAATAGAAAACCCTTTTATAGTCCCAAATTCTGGTGTTAGCTTGGTTCCAGCTAATATTCAGTTTGGATTTAAATATTTATTGAATAAATTAAATATTAAGTTAAAATAATGTAACTTGCTGACAGTCTCAAAATTTAGTTTGGAACATTGGTTATTATAAATGAATGAGTGGTAATTTTCCTCCTAAATAAGCATAAATATAAGTGCCTAACTTTCCAAAGGGAGCCCTGCCCCTCTGATGTGTTCCCTGTCCTGTAGGTGGGATGTGCAGCCATCAGTGCGCGCTGCGCTTTTTTACAGACGCGCTCTCTGAGGCTGCTTTAATGCGCCCCTCTCCACACACACCCCACGCACTCCCACACCCACAGCATATCTATTTTTCCTTCAGACTAAAGCGGACCCAGATTTTCCATGAAATTAGTAACAAAAGAGAGAGAAAAGTGCAGTCAGATAAAACCAGAGCAGGGATCAGAGCAGCGCGCCTCCCAGATGAACCCAGGTTTCCACCTGGATCAAACAGCTGGAAGCAGACCTACCTGCAGGATACGGTCACCTCGATTTTAGTGGCAGGGACGGTAGAGTTTAAAGGATCGAAATCTCCTATAGTCGCCATGGCTGATGAGAATGGTTTCCTTCTCCCTTCAGGTTCAGGTCCTCTGGTCTGGACAGAGAGCTCCTCTAGAAGCTGCTGGCGGCCGCTGGAAAGCAACTGTGGCTGAAATATACCTGAGCATCCGCTTTCATTCACAGTAAGGGAGGCAGCAGGCTGTCTTCTCCACACTCATCAGCAGGTGGAGGCAGAGACCACCACAGCTGCCTCTGATGGAGCTGCTCTAAGGAAGGAAAAAGAATCAACTAAGGAGCTAAGATGGATGGTGGATGGATGGTGGATGGATGGTGGATGGATGGTGGATGGATGATGGATGGATGGTGGATGGATGATGGATGATGGACGGATGGTGGATGGATGATGGATGGTGGATGGATGGATGGATGGATGGTGGATGGAAGGATGGATGGATGGTGGATGGATGATGGATGATGGACGGATGGTGGATGGATGATGGATGGTGGATGGATGGATGGATGGTGGATGGAAGGATGGATGGATGGTGGATGGATGTTGGATGGATGATGGATGGATGGATGGATGGATGATAGATGGATGGATGGATGGATGGATGATGGATGGATGGATGATGGATGGTGGATGGATGGATGGATGGTGGATGGATGGATGGTGGATGGATGGATGATGGATGGATGAATGAATGGATGGTGGATGGATGGTGGATGGATGGTGGATGGATGGTGGATGGATGATGGATGATGGACGGATGGTGGATGGATGATGGATGATGGATGGTGGATGGATGGATGGATGGATGGTGGATGGAAGGATGGATGGATGGTGGATGGATGTTGGATGGATGATGGATGGATGGATGGATGGATGATAGATGGATGGATGGATGGATGGATGGATGATGGATGGATGGATGATGGATGGTGGATGGATGGATGGATGGTGGATGGATGGATGGTGGATGGATGATGGATGGATGAATGAATGGATGGTGGATGGATGTTGGATGGATGAATAAATGGATGGATGGGTGGATGATGAATGGATGGATGATGGATTGATGAATGGATGGTGGATGGATGATGGATGGATGGATGGATGGTGGATGGATGGTGGATGGATGGTGGATGGATGGATGGATGGTGGATGGATGGATGGTGGATGGATGGATGATGGATGGATGAATGAATGGATGGTGGATGGATGATGGATGGATGAATAAATGGATGGATGGGTGGATGATGAATGGATGGATGATGGATTGATGAATGGATGGTGGATGGATAGATGGATGGATGGATGGATGGATGATGGATGGATGGTGGATGGATGGATGGATGGTGGATGGATGGTGGATGGATGGTGGATGGATGGATGGTGGATGGATGGATGATGGATGGATGAATGAATGGATGGTGGATGGATGTTGGATGGATGGATGATGGATGGATGATAGATGGATGGATGATGGATGGATGGGTGGATGATGAATGGATGGATGATGGATTGATGAATGGATGGTGGATGGATGATGGATGGATGGATGGATAGATGGATGGATGGATGGATGGATGATGGATGGATGGTGGATGGATGGATGGATGGATGGTGGATGGATGGTGGATGGATGGTGGATGGATGGATGATGGATGGATGAATGAATGGATGGTGGATGGATGTTGGATGGATGGATGATGGATGGATGATAGATGGATGGATGAATGGATGGTGGATGGATGATGGATGGATGAATAAATGGATGGATGGGTGGATGATGGATTGATGAATGGATGGTGGATGGATGATGGATGGATGGATAAATGGATGGATGGATGGATGGATAAATGGATGGATGATGGATGGATGGATAAATGGATGGATGATGGATGGATGGATAAATGGATGGATGATGGATGGATGGATAAATGGATGGATGATTTTTTTGAGTACATTTGTGCAACAGTTGCACATCATAAACAGATGTATTTCAGATTCCTTTACAGTTGATTTCCTTATAGCAATTCTAGAGTCATAGCTCTGATCAAACTTTGAATTAGGGTATTCTCTAAATTTTAAAATATATTCAGTGTGTATTCAGCTGTAGTTTAAAAATGATTCTATAGTATTACAGCACATGAGGCTGTTCAAGCAGAAAAGGCTGTTCCAGCAGATTGAGGCTGTTCCGGCAGATTGAGGCTGTTCCGGCAGATTGAGGCTGTTCCAGCAGATTGAGGCTGTTCCAGCAGATTGAGGCTGTTCCCGCAGATTGAGACTGTTCCCGCAGAAAAGGCTGTTCCAGCAGATTGAGGCTGTTCCGGCAGATTGAGGCTGTTCCGGCAGATTGAGGCTGTTCCGGCAGATTGAGGCTGTTCCAGCTGATTGAGGCTGTTCCCGCAGATTGAGACTGTTCCCGCAGATGAGGCTGTTCCAGCAGATTGAGGCTGTTCCAGCAGATTGAGGCTGTTCCTGCAGATTGAGGCTGTTCCTGCAGATTGAGGCTGTTCCAGCAGATTGAGACTGTTCCTGCAGATTGAGGCTGTTCCTGCAGATTGAGGCTGTTCCTGCAGATTGAGGCTGTTCCTGCAGATTGAGGCTGTTCAAGCAGAAAAGGCTGTTCCGGCAGATTGAGGCTGTTCCGGCAGATTGAGGCTGTTCCGGCAGATTGAGGCTGTTCCAGCAGATTGAGGCTGTTCCAGCAGATTGAGGCTGTTCCCGCAGATTGAGACTGTTCCCGCAGAAAAGGCTGTTCCAGCAGATTGAGGCTGTTCCGGCAGATTGAGGCTGTTCCGGCAGATTGAGGCTGTTCCGGCAGATTGAGGCTGTTCCCGCAGATTGAGACTGTTCCCGCAGATGAGGCTGTTCCAGCAGATTGAGGCTGTTCCAGCAGATTGAGGCTGTTCCTGCAGATTGAGGCTGTTCCTGCAGATTGAGGCTGTTCCAGCAGATTGAGACTGTTCCTGCAGATTGAGGCTGTTCCAGCAGATTGAGGCTGTTCCGGCAGATTGAGACTGTTCCAGCAGATTGAGGCTGTTCCTGCAGATTGAGGCTGTTCCTGCAGATTGAGGCTGTTCCGGCAGATTGAGGCTGTTCCGGCAGATTGAGGCTGTTCCTGCAGATTGAGGCTGTTCCTGCAGATTGAGGCTGTTCCTGCAGATTGAGGCTGTTCCGGCAGATTGAGGCTGTTCCGGCAGATTGAGACTGTTCCAGCAGATTGAGGCTGTTCCTGCAGATTGAGGCTGTTCCTGCAGATTGAGGCTGTTCCAGCAGATTGAGGCTGTTCCGGCAGATTGAGGCTGTTCCTGCAGATTGAGGCTGTTCCAGCAGATTGAGGCTGTTCCAGCAGATTGAGGCTGTTCCGGCAGATTGAGGCTGTTCCTGCAGATTGAGGCTGTTCCTGCAGATTGAGGCTGTTCTGGCAGATTGAGGCTGTTCCGGCAGATTGAGGCTGTTCCTGCAGATTGAGGCTGTTCCTGCAGATTGAGGCTGTTCCTGCAGATTGAGGCTGTTCCAGCAGATGAGGCTGTTCCAGCAGATTGAGGCTGTTCCAGCAGATTGAGGCTGTTCCGACAGATTGAGGCTGTTCCGGCAGATTGAGGCTGTTCCTGCAGATTGAGGCTGTTCTGGCATATTGAGGCTGTTCCAGCAGATGAGGCTGTACCAGCAGATGAGGCTTTTCCACCAGATTGAGGCTGTTTCAGCAGATTAAGACTGTTCGAGCAGATGAGGCTGTTCCAGCAGATTGAGGCTTTTCCAGCAGATGAGGCTTTTCCAGCAGATGAGGCTTTTCCAGCAGATTGAGGCTGTTCCAGCAGATTGAGGCTGTTCCAGCAGATTGAGGCTGTTCCAGCAGATGAGGCTGTTCCAGCAGATGAGGCTTTTCCAGCAGATGAGGCTTTTCCAGCAGATTGAGGCTGTTCCAGCAGATTGAGCCTGTTCCAACAGATTGAGACTGTTCCAGCAGATGAGGCTTTTCCAGCAGATTGAGACTGTTCCAGCAGATGAGGCTTTTCCAGCAGATGAGGCTTTTCCAGCAGATTGAGGCTGTTCCAGCAGATTGAGCCTGTTCCAGCAGATGAGGCTTTTCCAGCAGATGAGGCTGTTCCAGCAGATTGAGGCTGTTCCAGCAGATTGAGACTGTTCCAGCAGATTGAGGCTGTTCCAGCAGATTGAGGCTGTTCCAGCAGATGAGGCTTTTCCAGCAGATGAGGCTGTTCCAGCAGATTGAGGCTGTTCCAGCAGATGAGGCTTTTCCAGCAGATGAGGCTGTTCCAGCAGATTGAGGCTGTTCCAGCAGATGAGGCTTTTCCAGCAGATGAGGCTGTTCCAGCAGATTGAGACTGTTCCAGCAGATTGAGGCTGTTCCAACAGATTGAGACTGTTCCAGCAGATGAGGCTGTTCCAGCAGATGAGGCTGTTCCAGCAGATTGAGGCTGTTCCAGCAGATGAGGCTTTTCCAGCAGATGAGGCTGTTCCAGCAGATTGAGGCTGTTCCAGCAGATGAGGCTGTTCCAGCAGATTGAGACTGTTCCAGCAGATTGAGGCTGTTCCAGCAGATTGAGGCTGTTCCAGCAGATGAGGCTGTTCCAGCAGATTGAGACTGTTCCAGCAGATTGAGGCTGTTCCAACAGATTGAGACTGTTCCAGCAGATGAGGCTTTTCCAGCAGATGAGGCTGTTCCAGCAGATTGAGACTGTTCCAGCAGATTGAGGCTGTTCCAACAGATTGAGACTGTTCCAGCAGATGAGGCTTTTCCAGCAGATGAGGCTGTTCCAGCAGATTGAGGCTGTTCCAGCAGATGAGGCTTTTCCAGCAGATGAGGCTGTTCCAGCAGATTGAGGCTGTTCCAGCAGATGAGGCTGTTCCAGCAGATTGAGACTGTTCCAGCAGATTGAGGCTGTTCCAGCAGATTGAGGCTGTTCCAGCAGATGAGGCTTTTCCAGCAGATGAGGCTGTTCCAGCAGATTGAGGCTGTTCCAGCAGATGAGGCTTTTCCAGCAGATGAGGCTGTTCCAGCAGATTGAGGCTGTTCCAGCAGATGAGGCTTTTCCAGCAGATGAGGCTGTTCCAGCAGATTGAGACTGTTCCAGCAGATTGAGGCTGTTCCAGCAGATTGAGGCTGTTCCAGCAGATTGAGGCTGTTCCAACAGATTGAGACTGTTCCAGCAGATGAGGCTGTTCCAGCAGATGAGGCTTTTCCAGCAGATTGAGGCTGTTCCAGCAGATGAGGCTGTACCAGCAGATGAGGCTTTTCCACCAGATTGAGGCTGTTTCAGCAGATTGAGGCTTTTCCGGCAGATTAGGACAGTTCAGGGATGAATGCTAGACACTTGCCCTGTCAGTCAGCTCTCTGTGACACTGGCTGGAAGGAGCCCAGCATAGTGAGAAAGTGAACAGGTACGGTTCCTCCTGGTTTCCTCCTGTTTTGTTGGTCATGCTAAATCAGTATGACCTCTCAACACACACTCCGTCCCTCTGCCTGCTTCTAATGGTGATGCCCACCAGCCCTCCAAGGCTTCTGTCGTTCCAGAATGACACATTTACAGAGCTATTTATGGACTTCTGGGATTGTTTACAGTTTTTCCACCTCATCAATCATGACACCTGGGTCTTTATCTGAAGACCCCTCCCCTCCATAACCTCAGCAGATTAATAAAATCAATTAGAATTGAGATTTTTATCATATTTAGTAATTTATTCTCCACTAGAGCAAAATTTTTTTCCTTAATATATTTATTCTTCTAATTGCCTAGAATTGAATGGTCCGTCATCTCCCCCTACTGGCTCTGGATGGAACAGCGCACTTGCCAGTTATTTTTCCACTGGTAATCCTGTGGCTCTGTTTTCATGGTAAGAAAACATGTTTACTACAGTCCAGTACCTCAGCCTGCCATGTCCACAGGATATTCTAGAAATGCTTTTATTTCAGAGGTTTAACAAGGCAGAGCCACAAAAATGCAAAGAAAACAATTTCCTGGAGAGGAAAGGAAGAGAAAGTGTAAATTAGATCACCCATTACATAGATTACAGGCATGTCTGAAGACATAAAAACCTGGATGACTCTTAACTTTCTGCTTCTGAATGCAGACAAAACAGAAGTTAAAGTCTTTGGACCAGAGTCTCTGAAAAAGAAGCTGATTAGTCAGTCACTTCATCTGGATGGGATTAAACTGATTTCAGATAATAAAGTAAAAAATCTTGGTGTTATTTTTGATCAGGACCTGTCATTTAAATCCCATATCAAAGAGGTTTCTAGAATTTCCTTCTTTCATCTGAGGAACATTGCAAAAATTAGAAATCTCCTGTCCAGGGGTGATGCTGAGAAACTAGTCCATGCATTTGTTACTTCAAGGCTGGACTATTGTAATTCTTTACTGTCAGGAAGTCCACAAACTGTAATCTTTTTAGACAGAACAGAACTCAATGTTCTACTGCTTTTGGCGCCATTTTTATTTACACTGAACTGAACCTTTTCATATCAATGTCTTTAAACTGGTTTCCTTTTCTCCTACATTGTTTACATTCTGATCACTGCTGCACTTTATGAATTAAAAAGTTCATTTCACTGTTGTAAGCTGTACATATCAGAAAATATTTTTTTGCATACACTCTGTGTACAAAATGACAATAAAGTTTGTCTATGTTATTTTGGTGATTGTTGAAGTGAGAGGGAGCACCATGAGATACCAGATGTTCCTGTTGAATTCAGTGAGAAGACTTTAGGAGGAGTCTGCTCGGAGATTAAAGATCTTTTTCGGAGTCGGTCAGTCGTATGGAAAATGGTCTACTAGTGAAGGACGTCCAGCTGAAGACAACTTTAGCCTCAGCAGACGTCACGGTCGTTCCTTTAGCATCGGATACCTCCTGATGCTTCTGTTTGCTGCCAAGAAGTTCCACAGATTCCCATAATCCTCTGCATGACAGGTCAACAGGCCACAGCCCACTTCATGGAGTTTAAGAAAACTTTATTCACTGATCTCCATGCAACACATCCCAACATTCATTCATATCTGATGTTTTATTATGGAGACCTTAAGCCCTCTTTTCTGAATGCTGCAGTCACCAGCATCAGCTGTTTCCATCCAGAAGCCGTCTGCAACCCGGAGCTGCTTTCCTACCCGGGATAGAGTTCTCTCTGTCGACCCCTCCAAAGGTGAAGGAAGGAGCTACAACTGATCCCGTTTGAATCAGTCTGATTTTCCACCAAAGTAAAAGGAAGTAAAAATGACAGAATGCCGTTTTCATCACTATGAGATGTTTAAATACGATGAAATACATTTATGTTCAAGAAATGAAAACGAGATGTCTGCACAGATTTTAAGAACTGAATTCCCGTTTCCATGACTACCTCACTTTGGGAGTAGATGAAGAAAACATCTGCCCCACTTCCACTACCCTCTGAAACCGATCCGTGCCGAGTTTGGACCGAGCTTACGACCATTAAAACATCACGCCAGCACGGTTCCATAGTCCTATCGGCGGTCGACCATACTACAGCCCTGAAGGCGGGAATTACGCAATGGATATAGCGTCCTCAATGGATAGAGTCCTCCGCCCAAATTTAAACGACAGCCTCAGTCTCTGCATCTTTCCAGGTTCCACCACGCTTTTTTAAGCTATTTATTGCTAACAGTTGGAGAAGTTTGTGTGGTGAACAGCTGCAGAGATCTGTGAATTACAAAGCCGAAAACGCTGAAAACCCGCGATATGAGTCAGCTGACTGTAAGCCACAGATTAACCGTGCTGAGCCCTACTAATGATCGATTACTAGTTCAGCACGGTTCAGTTGTTTCTGCCACTGTCCAGTTCAAGTGGGTTCTATTTACACTCAACAGTTACCTGGGTTACCGTGCTCTCACCGCTCTTGGCACGGTTTCATAAAGGTAGTGTAAATGGGGCGTGTATTGATGAAATCAAATGAAATAAAGCTCCGACACTTCAATCAGGTTTCTTTATTGAGAATTGCTCAGCTTTTAGCATAACCTGTCACCTGACAACAAGCAACATACAACCTCAAAAAAAACAGGTAGACCTCCTTTAAAAGCAAAATCTGTACAAAGAAACAAAACAGAGCAAATGGAAGCAGTGCAACGCGGCGCTTTAACCGACGTGTTGGGGAAGACGTGATGAAAAGCTGACAGTGAATGTGGACGGCAGCTCAGATTGAGTGATATTTCCTCATTTTTCTGGCTCTGCGGGCATCCTTTGATTGCCTGCTTCCAGCTGCCCGGCAGGAGCTGAAAAAGACGCCCTTATTTCCGCTGCTAAACAAAGCTGAATCTGTATGGAACCCAGACATGGATTCATAGAAATGAAGACGGATTGTTCTGTTATAGAAAGAGGAACGTCTGCCAGACCCAGAGGCAGCTGCTTCATGAAGGATAATAACAGAACTCAATATGTCCGTTCGATCCACGATGGAGCGAGCCGATGCCGCCCAGCCACATTCCTGCATCATCTACCCGTTTCTGTGAAAGGACCTTTTTCTGGCATCGGCTGGAAGACCCCAAGAGTAAAAAGCAAAAATCAGAATGAGCAGAGATGTCCTGGAAATAATGCAGAGGTTTAAAAAAAAAGGCACAGCGAAAGGCCCTGAGGTGAAACGGCGTTTCAAGCGTCAACCGACACGGATCCGCCAGGAGAGGAAGGATTGTTCAGAAGTAGGCGAGCCGAAGAACCGCCAGCTGAGTCGGACATGAAGGAAGGCATGCGGTGTTTGTGAAGATAAACCCTGAGCTCTGCGGGGCGTAGGCTGACCAACAAATAAAGGATTCTGGATACCAAGTTCTCCAGGCTGTCCCTGAACGCCGACCTGGACGCATGGGGAAAAGTAACGTAACCCGTTCTGATAAGGCCGTCCCTTCAGTGAACGTGTCCTGCTGTCAAACTGGACCGATGCTGGGCTCATGTTGGTCTGTCCAGACTGGAACTCAGGAACCAAACTATGCTGAACTGTTCAGTTTGAACTCATGGTGCAGCGGCCAGAACCGAGACATTTACCTTCATCATCTTAATGCAGAGCTACTGAGACTGAACTTCTTCCTGATTGAATGCAGCCAAATGCGTGGGGTCATTCTAAGTGCTGTAACTCTAATGTGGGCTCCAGCGCCACGCCGCCCGCTACATCGGAGCAACAAACAATAGCAGCATAAGGAAAGGAAAATATTAAGAAAGATTAAAAACATCATCATCATCTCCCTTCATCTCCCTTTTCATCACAGTGGAGGAAACTGAATCTCTCCCTGAAATAATGAAACCGGAGCAGCTGAGCTCCAGCAGAACATAATAGGATGAAGCTGCAGCAACATGTTTGGCACTTGGTCTGCTGCCAGATCAGGAGCTCTGGTTCCTCCGTCATCGTCTCCGTTTTAACCTTTGATTTCAGCCTGACTGGAAACAAAACTGTGATTTAAAAAAAGCCTTTAAATTAACCAGGGAGTTTTTTTACTAGACATTTAGATTCACGGCTTTGAACGGTCACATCTGACCGTCATTCGCCAGGGACCATCAGCTCATTCTGAGCCCCAAGCAAAGACGGCTTTAAACATGAAAAACAAAGTGTACAGTTTCACAAAACGTGGAATTTCTGAGCGAGACTTCCTTCTTCATTACATCACAACCTGTTTTATGCATCCGGCCCCTGATCTGATGGACGGTGGGGGCTAAATGGGGAAGTCACACCCAAGGACTTCAGACGATGGCATTGCTGCCTCGAAGGCCGACCCCGCGGGCAAACTGCTCCAGCAGGCCGGAGATGGCGCCGGAAGGGCTGGGGGCCGAAGACCTGAGACCCACCGTGGAGCTGTAGGCCGCTAGGAAGATCTCCCGGACCGCTTCCAGCCGAGCCTGCCGCTCCGAAGGGAGGGAGCACCTGGGGGGAGAGGGACAGACACCGGGGGTCAAAGAGAGAAAGAGCTCTGAGGGTCCAAAATTCTGTGTATGTTGAGGGGGGGTTACTGTACGCGGAGTAGCTATGCTAGCTTTGATTTCTGTTTTGGATAAATACAGTCTGAGTTGAAGGCCGGCTGTTTTCAGTCAGTCTGTAGGAAGAAGAGGACAGAAGACGGTCCAGTTTTTAAACCACTCCCACCACTATGCTGGAGTTTGGGTTTTAAACCACTCCCACCCCGATGCTGGAGTCTGTTCTCAGACCGCCAACACCAGGACGTCCCGGCGGGGGTCTTCAGTGGTCTCAGAGATAAAGGACGGGGTTGGATGGCCACTAAAAATGCAGCTGGATGTTCCACAAGCCAGGATTCAGAGAGGCAGGTCTGCCTGAGGTAGTGTAATGGTTACCATGGAAACCAGCGGTAAGAGAGCAATCAATGACTTGCAAAGAGAGATTTCTCGACGGAAACGGACTGCCGGTCTGAACCAGGGCATTCAGGCAGGACGGCCCTCAGCTGAGACATGAATTGACTAAATGTTTGTGCTTCAGGCAGGGATTAGATTATTTTGGATTATTTTGATCAGACCACAGAGAGGTACTCTGGATATAAGTAGTTCCAGAAAGATAATATGGGCTAAAAATGGTGGGCTACTATCAGATTCATTCTGGCCATCTTCCTCTAGGCGTGGCTTAAATACGAATAATGATGCTGATTAAAAATGAAATTGAATCACATGGATCAGAGAACATAACATTGTCCTTTATCAATGAGACCCTGAAGGATGTAACACGGCAGCCAGAAACCAAATCGCATGTGGAGGACACCTGTTTGAAGATGCCAATTTGAGCATTCTGGAAGGGAAGAAGCGGACTGAAGGAGGAGGAGGCCTTCCAGCCACAATGACCTGAAGCAGCCACGGCTGCTGGAGTAATGCTAACCTCACCCGGTTTGGTGCTGAATCAAAGCGGTTAAAGGTCTGATCAAAGCCGAGGCGTTCAGTAACGCCTTGGGTCGGGCTAAAGTCACACAGGTTTATTCCAAAACTGTTTCTACAGCGGTTGAACTTACGTCCGCCCACTGGGGCCCTCGTCCTGGAAACTGAAGGGCAGCGGGGAATCGAAGGCAGAGGTGACAGCAGAAGAGTTGGAGGAAAGCGAGGCCATCGGCTGAGAAAAGTGGCCGTGGTCGTGGATGCTGCCGCATCCGGAAACTATCTGCCAGCTTCCATAGTCTGTGGACAGGGAGGAAGCTGATCTGGAGCAGTCTGCTGCTAACCTGACACACAGAGGTAACAACCACAAAGGTTAGACACACACCTGCAGAAACCACACAGCTTAGCAGCCGCTCTGACGCTAATGCTAACCAGACCGTCCACAGACTGCCTGACTTCCTGCTTCCAGCAGTCGATCATGTGGGATAAAATTCAGCTCAGGGAACTGTTGGGAAATTTGATGTCTGTCTGATTTCTTCTTTTTCTGTTTTGAATAAATCTCAATAATGAAAATGAGCTTTTCCTCATGGTCTCAGTGGGTCTTACAAGTAAAATCCAGAGGAGAGATTAGTTGGGCAGAGTTTGAATGAGGCTGGAGCAGCGCTGCGAACATCTGGACGTTATGATTTTAAGACCCATGCCTGAAGACTCGACTTTTTCCATTTTATATAAACCAGGTTTGAGTCCAACATTTTTACAGGAATGACCCAGATACCGATAACAGAGATGCTTTTCACCACATTCTGTTCTGAAACGCAAACACAGAAAATTGACATTTAGGAAGGAAAGGTAAGGAAAGTTAGGCTGACCCTAACCCCACCACCGGAGCTCAGTGGATGTAAGAAGGCCTCATTACAGGAATAGTACACCCAACACATGATTAGCCTTCATTTTCTACTCACCCCCATGCTGAACAACACTCTGGAGTACTTTTTTGATATCTCAAATGCATCTGGAGATCTGGGAGGCTTCTTGCTGTCTGCTGACATTCAAATAATGGAGGTCTATGGCGCCCGAGGCAGAAAGGTCCATAAAAGTCCACAAAAAACGTGTCAATATTCCTCCATACTGCTCGTCCAATGTATCCCAAGTGTCCTGAGTGGGTAGCGTCCAGAATTTACTCTAAACGAAGTCATTTAGAATGTTTTTAGAGCATAAACAGTAGTGTATAGGATTTCCTGAAAGCGCGCACGTGCGCGATCACGACGCTACGGAAGCCGGCAGACCAAACCAGCGCATTCAGCTCGGCAAAGAACTCATGCTCTTCCCCAACACTGAAGTCCTCAGACATTTTTCTTTCGTTGTTTCTTTCTTTGCACAGGTAAACAGCACATTTCTTCTTCTACGCTTGCATTATTGGCAGAGCAGACGCTGAATGCGCACTTTCATCTGGTTTGGTCTGCCGCGGTTTCCGTAGACTCGTGAACGAGCTTTCAGGAAATCCTATACACTACTGTTTATGCTCTAAAAACATTCTAAATGACTTCGTTTCTGGTAAATTCTGGATGCTACCCACTCAGGACACTTGGGATACATTGGACGAGCAGTATGGAGGAATATTGACACGTTTTTTGTGGACTTTTATGGACCTCTCTGCCTCGGGCGCCATAGACCTCCATTATTTGAATGTCAGCAGACAGCAAGAAGCCTCCCAGATCTCCAGATGCATTTGAGATATCAAAAAAGTACTCCAGAGTGTTGTTCAGCATGGGGGTGAGTAGAAAATGAAGGCTAATCATGTTTTGGGTGTACTATTCCTTTAAAGTCGTAGGGAAGCGGCTGTTCCAACTGTTGCTTTTCCTAATTCTCCCAGTGGTGCCCGACTTTACACGAGTGAATAAAGTGAATCTGATTGGCCGATTATCAAGGGGGCGGGATTGTTGTGGCAGAAGGTTCTCAAGCACGTTTGGTTGTGGCGGGTTTGTTGGAAGCATCTTGCTAACCAGTTAGCATCTTAGTGCTAGCAGGTTCCCAATGGGAAATTCCATTGGGACCAAGTAGCACTAAATTGGTGACTTAGAAACGACGCTGTCAAGGAACGCTATGGACAGAGGAAACATGCAAGAGGAGGAGAGTTTAGTGTCGGAGGTCGTGGATGAGTCTCCTACGTCATCCATTTTTTATTTAGAGGAGGAAAGCGGGGACGAAGATGTTGTGGAAGAGGACGCCAGGGCGGCAGAAGCTTGGTTTGGTGTAGAAGGCTTCCAGCCGTCCATGTTTGAGCCCTTGCGTCGCAACGCTGCCAGTTCTGTTAGCTCTACGCCTGCCGAAGACACAGACGTCCATCCCCGTGAACACTGGGACGCAACTCAATGGGAAAGGAAAGGATTCTGATTTCAACCGTTGCGTATATTAGCTGTGACATATGAATCAAGATGCTATGACCGAAAACATTTGATTGACAGATGACCATTGATACATGATTGGCCGAATTTAGGTGTTCAGGCTGACGTAGAACTAACTGGCCTGCAGAAGATAACGGAAAAAAAACAGCATTTTAAGACAGGATTTTTTTAAAATGCGTTTTGGGACAATATGGTCTGATAAAGAGTACATTTATATACATGTTTAAGCCAGAATGATTTGACATTTAAATATGATTTCTCTATGACTTTAATGCAGAAATGGTTTTGCTGGCTTTCTGGGCCACAGCCATCCTGTAGTGGAAACTGAAGCAGGAGGAACCTGGAGTCAGTCCTGTTCATGAGCTCCAGGCTACAGGTCAGATGTAACATTTACAGACGGTCTGAACGGTTCGGGTTCAGTTTGGACTGAGCCAATGGAACATTCAGCTCCATCCATCTGTCCCGCTACTGCGCTGCCTCCCAGCACTCCCTGTTTACTTTGTTTTATGTGGAAAAGACTCCCGACTGTCTCATCTGTCCAGCCAGCCTCTCCCAGGGGCCCCCCTACCTGCCATGTGGCGGACAGCACCCAGATCTCCTATAAAGCTGGGCGTACACTGTACAAATGTGAACAGGGGCTAACGAGGGGCCATCAGCCTCTAACGACCACCTCCCCATCAGGAATCGTAAGGTTGGGACAAAATCAATCATGTCAGCCGTCCTAAGGTGGTCGGGGCAAATCGCTCACTGGGCAAACAGGGATTCTTCTTCTTCCTTCTTCAGAGGAAAACCCAGCAGCATGGCGGGGGGGCAATGAGTGAAATGGAGTTCTCTCTGTCAAACTGTCAGACCGTAGTAGCCACGTTAGCTCAGCCATGTCTTTGTCCAAATACGTCGTCTCCTTTTCTTTTTAGGGCTTTCAGCACAAAGTTGCCCAAATATCCAAGGCAGCGCGTTTCACTCTAGTGAGCTTCATGTTCCTCTGCTACTGGTTTGGCTTCCAGATAGACGAGTCCGAGTAGCGCCATCTCACTGCGGAGCTGAGTCCCACCTGGTTTTTAGACGTACAGTGTGAGCAGGTAGATCGCATCAGAGCGTCGGGTCGCACAGCGTGAGAACAAAGATGTTGAGCTGTGAACTTTTAAACTCTGCGGTTTTGTTTTAGAGTGTGAGCTGTAGCTGAGAGCAACCATTGGAAAAATCTCACAGTTTAAGCCCAGCTTAAAGCCTCTTCTCTCCACGCTTTGGACTGGATGGCTGCTGGTTTACAGACGTTTCCAGCTGCAGCTCCTCCAGAGTCTCCATTGATCTGTCACTCCCATGGTTGCTGAACCCAACCCCACTCTAAACCGGACAAGAACCACCCGACCCGTCTTCCGGTTCCCGCCTGTTTTCTGAAGAACCCGTGAGGCCAGAACTGGCTAAAGCTGGACTGATGGGTGCAGACAGGCCCCGCCTCCTCGGCCCTCCATGTGAGCAGCAGACTGCAATCACACGCTTTTGATTCCATGGGTCTGAAGTGATTTTGACGTTTTGCTTTTTAACACCAGAACTGGTGCTGCGGCCGACTGCAGGCCTGAAGAGCCGTGGCCCCCGGCACGTCATATCCAGGGGCCGGCAGGCGAACGAACAGGCAGTTCTGTTTTAAAACGATGGTCGAGTCAGGAAGAAACACAGAGCCAGGCCACAACTGCTGAGCCTGGGTAACCACGGCAACCTTAGAGGACTACAAGGATGCTCTCTGGAGTCCTGGATCATGTCTCCCTGTCAGCTAAACCAACATTTTTCTGACTGCATTAAGTCAATCAGGAAGTTTGGTGGAGGGATGACCGAAGTGAGGGCCGTCTGGCTCCAGCCTTTCATTTCCAGTCAAACTCTTTACTCCATCGGGGAGCTGAGACATTCTGGCCGTTTTCCTACTGCTGGATGTGTTGAAGCTACTCAGCCGAACAGAAACGAGACCAGAGGAAACTGAATGACCTGGACCTGCGTGGTGGTCTGGACCTGCTGCAGACGCATCGCGGTCCAGACCACCGCCACAGAGCCTAAGTGGTGGGACGCTGAGGGCGTCCCCGTGTTCTGTCAGGTGAGCATACCCCAGCATACCCACAGCCAATATGCATGCGTAAGACGTCAGATTTGTGTTTATTCCTTCAGTTTTGTACAAAAAGTAGACTTTAAACTACCTCAACAGGCATGTATCCCTTTGGTCATGTACAAAAAAACCATTAAAGGTCAGATCACCACACGCTTCAAAAAACACCCAGAAGTAAGTAATGAAAAAGGTTTTTTGTTCATGGCTTAAGGGATACACGCCTGTTGAGGTAGTTTAAAGTTTATTATTCGTAGAAAACTAAAGGGATAAATTAAAGGGATAATCAGGTATGTTGGTCTGACTGGGTATGCTCATCTGACAGCTTTTTGTGACATCATGGCTCTAAAAATGGCCGTCACTACCCGATCCGTGCTGCTCATGCGCGAACAGATATACATCTAGGTGTCCATAAATAATGTTATCATGGTACTAAAATTACTTATTTCAATTAACTCTCTATAGAATGCTAATACACGTCTTTAAATAAATTGTATGTCTTTTTCTGAGACATTTTGATCCTTTTTTCCATTTCGTCGGATCGGAATTCCGGGACGGATCGGAATTCCGGGACGGATCGGAATTCCGGGACGGATCAGGCTTTCGGGACGGATCGGAATTCCGGGACGGATCAGGCTTCCGGGACGGATCAGAATTCCGGGACGGATCGGAATTCCGGGAAGGATCAGGCTTTCGGGACGGATCGGAATTCCGGGACGGATCAGGCTTCCGGGACGGATCAGAATTCCGGCACGGATCGGAATTCCGGCACGGATCGGAATTCCGGCACGGATCGGGCTTCCGCCACGGATCGGGCTTCCGGGACAGATGGGGCTGCCAGGACCAGGCAGTGACAGTGACGAACAGAGACACAGAACATCTGAAGGGAAACTAACTCTTCTCTACTCAGTTTGCGGCTTCCTGTTTCTGTCTTACTAAGGGTCTGGAGTTCAGGATCGTCTCCCCCTAGTGGGCTGGAGTTTAGTTAGACTCATTTTTGCCTTTGCAGAATGTTTTGCACCCCTTGGCCCTGCAGACGGTTGATGTTGGGTCACAAAGCAGCCAGAGAGTCAGATGCTGCTCCTCTGAAGCTGAAGGCAAACATCAGAGCGCTGAAGCTAACCGGACCAGAAATCGAGGAGAAAACAACTCACCCTCTGCTGGGAACGGCCAATGGGCTGCTGCCGGTGCGGGTCACAACGTGATCTGATTGGTTGGAGGAGGATGAGCTGGAAGACTTGGCCTCTCCGGCTGGATGGAAGAGAGGATCATCCAACAGGTTCTGCCGGTTCCAAACCACCATAGGAGGAGAAGAGGCGGGAACTTTCCTCCTGGGAACAGAGAGAACCAGATCGCCTGAAATGAAACCGCTCTGTTCCCACAGCAGCCGAGGACCAACCGGTGCAAACTGGTTCAATCTGGTCCTCAGAGGAAGTCTGCCTCGGAGAACATTTGCTTCCATCTGATTGTCAACAAAGCATCAATAGAACAAAGAGGGGCCCCGGGGCCAAGATGAGGATAGAGGGGGCCCGGGACCAGGATGAGGATAGAGGGGGCCCGGGACCAGGATGAGGATAGAGGGGGCCCGGGGCCAGGATGAGGATAGAGGGGGCCCGGGGCCAGGATGAGGATAGAGGGGGCCCGGGGCCAGGATGAGGATAGAGGGGGCCCGGGGCCAGGATGAGGATAGAGGGGGCCCGGGGCCAGGATGAGGATAGAGGGGGCCCGGGGCCAGGATGAGGAGAGAGGGGGCCCGGGGCCAGGATGAGGATAGAGGGGGCCCCGGGGCCAGGATGAGGATAGAGGGGGCCCGGGGCCAGGATGAGGAGAGAGGGGGCCCGGGGCCAGGATGAGGAGAGAGGGGGCCCGGGGCCAGGATGAGGAGAGAGGGGGCCCGGGGCCAGGATGAGGAGAGAGGGGGCCCGGGGCCAGGATGAGGAGAGAGGGGGCCCGGGGCCAGGATGAGGAGAGAGGGGGCCCCGGGGCCAGGATGAGGATAGAGGGGGCCCGGGGCCAGGATGAGGAGAGAGGGGGCCCGGGGCCAGGATGAGGAGAGAGGGGGCCCGGGGCCAGGATGAGGAGAGAGGGGGCCCCGGGGCCAGGATGAGGATAGAGGGGGCCCCGGGGCCAGGATGAGGATAGAGGGGGCCCGGGGCCAGGATGAGGAGAGAGGGGGCCCGGGGCCAGGATGAGGAGAGAGGGGGCCCGGGGCCAGGATGAGGATAGAGGGGGCCCGGGGCCAGGATGAGGATAGAGGGGGCCCGGGGCCAGGATGAGGAGAGAGGGGGCCCGGGGCCAGGATGAGGAGAGAGGGGGCCCGGGGCCAGGATGAGGATAGAGGGGGCCCCGGGGCCAGGATGAGGATAGAGGGGGCCCGGGGCCAGGATGAGGAGAGAGGGGGCCCGGGGCCAGGATGAGGAGAGAGGGGGCCCGGGGCCAGGATGAGGAGAGAGGGGGCCCCGGGGCCAGGATGAGGATAGAGGGGGCCCCGGGGCCAGGATGAGGATAGAGGGGGCCCGGGGCCAGGATGAGGAGAGAGGGGGCCCGGGGCCAGGATGAGGAGAGAGGGGGCCCGGGGCCAGGATGAGGATAGAGGGGGCCCGGGGCCAGGATGAGGATAGAGGGGGCCCGGGGCCAGGATGAGGATAGAGGGGGCCCGGGGCCAGGATGAGGAGAGAGGGGGCCCGGGGCCAGGATGAGGAGAGAGGGGGCCCGGGGCCAGGATGAGGATAGAGGGGGCCCGGGGCCAGGATGAGGATAGAGGGGGCCCGGGGCCAGGATGAGGAGAGAGGGGGCCCGGGGCCAGGATGAGGAGAGAGGGGGCCCGGGGCCAGGATGAGGAGAGAGGGGGCTCGGGGCCAGGATGAGGAGAGAGGGGGCCCGGGGCCAGGATGAGGAGAGAGGGGGCCCGGGGCCAGGATGAGGACACACTGTTTGTTGCTGAGTGACACTGACCAGCTGGAGGCCTGGGATTGGCTGGAGAACGGGTCCATGGTGTCGGTGCTGGAGGCGGCAGGCGGCTCTTCGGTGATGAGGGAGAAGTCGCTGCTCAGGCTGGTGATGCTGCCGCGGTCCCTGGACCCTGAAAACAGCCAGAAGGGCCTCAGTGACACCAGCGGGTAACAAGGGCCACTAACCCACAGGGCGTCAACCTTCAGCTTCCTGTCTGAGCCCATTAGCACAGCCTGACTAATGCTAGCGCTAGCTTAGCTGGTGCTTCAGGGATACGGCCAACAGCAGCAGGAACCCTGAGACCGGGATCCTCCCAGAGCCTCAGGGTCTGAGGGTTACCATGGCGTTAGAGAGGCTGGCTCAGTCTGAGCTGCAGAGGCGGACCCAGCAGGTCCCACAGGAGAACCTTCTGGGCCCGCCTCTGCAGATGGACTGGCAGATGTTAGAGCAACGCTTCCACAGCAGCTCGCCACATGGTGGACACGTACTCAGCTGGCAGATGTCCTCCACGCTGAAGTCGCCATCTTTGAAGGTGGAGTTTTTCCTCCTGAAAGGTGAAAGAAACGAAGCTGTAACAGAGTCAACGGAGACAGATCTCAGGAGCAGACGGACCTCACCTCTGTTTCCTAACGGCTGAGAACTTCTCCGAGACGATGTGCTTCAAAAAATTGAAGCAGAAAAAGAAAATCTGAGGGAGAGAACATTTCTAGGTTAGAGATGTTTGAGCCTGCAGGACGTCAGAGCAGCATCTCTGTTCCGGAGCAGCGTTACCTCTTCCCCTTTGGAGAGACGATCCGGCAGCATGTGACTGGGAAACAAAACACACCAGTGAGACCATCAGGGTCAAACAGGGTTAAGTCATCAGCATGAGCAGCGTCTGAGGCGTCAGGTGAGGAACATCTCCACTTTGCTGGTCCGCCAGAGCCAGAGCTTTGATCTCATTCTGCTGCATCCTCTAGGAGGAGGATCTTTTTATTCTAGATCTATAGGTCCTATAAGAAGGTTCTTTCCTTAATAGAAGTTGTTTTTTTCTAAAACAAAATAAAAGGAACATGGATAGAAACACTGAGGCAACGCAGCTTTCATCTTTGGTCTGGAGGGCCTCCCTGCCAGCACCCTAATCTGGATCTACCCCCACCTGGTGGACCAGGAGGAGCAGCAGGAGGAGAGAATTCCCTCTGAAGGACCTCAGACCTGCGATTCAAGCGAAGGGCGGATTTTTACCCAAACAGAAACCAGTCGTAGGCGATGGTCAGGTAGAGGATCTCGGCAGGCTCCAGGCTGGCGTTAACGGCTCCATCCTGTGGAACAAACAGCATCTATAATCAGAATCTCATCGGAAAGTCTCGAAACATCTAAACATTGAAAGCCCTGGAGGATCCATACGGCTGCGATGGAGGAGCGGAGGAAGGACTTACTGCCCACAGCGAGAGTCTGAGGAGGGAGACGAAGAGCGGCGTCCGGTCCCAGCCGGATATGCAGTGCACCAGGAGCCCGCTGTCATCTGAAACGACACAGGACCGCTAAGTGGCGCTACGGGTCAGCAGCAAGACGTTCACGCTCAGAGGTTCTGGGCAGAGATCGGCCCATCGAAACGGATCGGACCAGAGCTACTGATCTCTGGGGTCAGGCCAGTGTTGCTTCATCTTCCTCCATTTGGAGAATAAAAATGACCAAAAAACAAAGATAAAGAAAAACCAGAACAGCACTCAGAACTTTCCCAGATGGTAATCCAACATTTAATGGATCCTTCCCCTGAATGAGGCGCAGCTTTGGTCAAAATGTCACTAAAAACCATTCTGAACCATGAACAGACACGCAGCGCTGAAGGGTTAGCCGATGAACGCAGCGCTGAAGGGTTAGCCGACGAACGCAGCGCGGAAGGGCTAGCCGACGAACGCAGCGCCGAAGGGTTAGCCGACGAACGCAGCGCCGAAGGGTTAGCCGACGAACGCAGCGCCGAAGGGTTAGCCGACGAACGCAGCGCCGAAGGCTCAGCCGATGAACGCAGCGCCGAAGGTTCAGCCGATGAACGCAGCGCGGAAGGGTTAGCCGATGAACGCAGCGGGAAGGGTTAGCCGAAGAACGCAGCTCTGAAAGGCTTCGCCGAAGAACGCAGCTCTGAAAGGCTTCGCCGATGAACGCAGCGCTGAAGGGTTAGCCGATGAACGCAACGCTGAAGGGTTACACGAAGAACGCAGCGCTGAAGGGTTACACGAAGAACGCAGCGCTGAAGGGTTACATGAAGAACGCAGCGCTGAAGGGTTAGCCGATGAACGCAGCGCTGAAGGGTTAGCCGATGAACGCAGCTCTGAAGGGTTAGCCGATGAACGCAGCTCTGAAGGGTTAGCCGATGAACTCAGCGCTGAAGCGTTAGCCGATGAACGCAGCGCTGAAGGGTTAGCCGATGAACGCAGCGCGGAAGGGCTATCCGACGAACGCAGCGCCGAAGGGTTAGCCGACGAACGCAGCGCCGAAGGGTTAGCCGATGAACGCAGCGCCGAAGGGTTAGCCGACGAACGCAGCGCCGAAGGCTCAGCCGATGAACGCAGCGCTGAAGGTTCAGCCGATGAACGCAGCGCGGAAGGGTTAGCCGATGAACGCAGCGGGAAGGGTTAGCCGATGAATGCAGCACTGAAGGGTTAGCCGAAGAACGCAGCTCTGAAAGGCTTCGCCGATGAACGCAGCGCTGAAGGGTTAGCCGATGAACGCAACGCTGAAGGGTTACACGAAGAATGCAGCGCTGAAGGGTTAGCCGATGAACGCAGCGCTGAAGGGTTAGCCGATGAACGCAGCGCTGAAGGGTTAGCCGATGAACGCAGCGCTGAAGGGTTAGCCGATGAACGCAGCTCTGAAGGGTTAGCCGATGAACTCAGCGCTGAAGCGTTAGCCGATGAACGCAGCGCTAAAGGGTTAGCCGATGAACGCAGCGCTAAAGGGTCAGCCGAAGAACGCAGCTCTGAAAGGCTTCGCCGATGAACGCAGCGCTGAAGGGTTAGCCGATGAACGCAACTCTGAAGGGTTACACGAAGAACGCAGCGCTGAAGGGTTACACGAAGAACGCAGCGCTGAAGGGTTACACGAAGAACGCAGCGCTGAAGGGTTACATGAAGAACGCAGCGCTGAAGGGTTAGCCGATGAACGCAGCGCTGAAGGGTTAGCCGATGAACGCAGCTCTGAAGGGTTAGCCGATGAACGCAGCTCTGAAGGGTTAGCCGATGAACTCAGCGCTGAAGCGTTAGCCGATGAACGCAGCGCGGAAGGGCTAGCCGACGAACGCAGCGCCGAAGGGTTAGCCGACGAACGCAGCGCCGAAGGGTTAGCCGATGAACGCAGCGCCGAAGGGTTAGCCGACGAACGCAGCGCCGAAGGCTCAGCCGATGAACGCAGCGCTGAAGGTTCAGCCGATGAACGCAGCGCGGAAGGGTTAGCCGATGAACGCAGCGGGAAGGGTTAGCCGATGAATGCAGCACTGAAGGGTTAGCCGAAGAACGCAGCTCTGAAAGGCTTCGCCGATGAACGCAGCGCTGAAGGGTTAGCCGATGAACGCAACGCTGAAGGGTTACACGAAGAATGCAGCGCTGAAGGGTTAGCCGATGAACGCAGCGCTGAAGGGTTAGCCGATGAACGCAGCGCTGAAGGGTTAGCCGATGAACGCAGCGCTGAAGGGTTAGCCGATGAACGCAGCTCTGAAGGGTTAGCCGATGAACTCAGCGCTGAAGCGTTAGCCGATGAACGCAGCGCTAAAGGGTTAGCCGATGAACGCAGCGCTAAAGGGTCAGCCGAAGAACGCAGCTCTGAAAGGCTTCGCCGATGAACGCAGCGCTGAAGGGTTAGCCGATGAACGCAACGCTGAAGGGTTACACGAAGAACGCAGCGCTGAAGGGTTACACGAAGAACGCAGCGCTGAAGGGTTAGCCGATGAACGCAGCGGGAAGGGTTAGCCGATGAATGCAGCACTGAAGGGTTAGCCGAAGAACGCAGCTCTGAAAGGCTTCGCCGATGAACGCAGCGCTGAAGGGTTAGCCGATGAACGCAACGCTGAAGGGTTACACGAAGAACGCAGCGCTGAAGGGTTAGCCGATGAACGCAGCGCTGAAGGGTTAGCCGATGAACGCAGCGCTGAAGGGTTAGCCGATGAACGCAGCTCTGAAGGGTTAGCCGATGAACGCAGCTCTGAAGGGTTAGCCGATGAACTCAGCGCTGAAGCGTTAGCCGATGAACGCAGCGCTAAAGGGTTAGCCGATGAACGCAGCGCTAAAGGGTCAGCCGAAGAACGCAGCTCTGAAAGGCTTCGCCGATGAACGCAGCGCTGAAGGGTTAGCCGATGAACGCAACGCTGAAGGGTTACACGAAGAACGCAGCGCTGAAGGGTTACACGAAGAACGCAGCGCTGAAGGGTTAGCCGATGAACGCAGCGCTGAAGGGTTAGCCGATGAACGCAGCGCGGAAGGGTAACAGGCTGACGTACGACATGCTGGTGACGGCCACTGACCAGGATGTGGGATTATTCTAATCCAGCTCCTTACGTGGTGAAATGGTCGAGCTAACTTTGTGACGGAGATTGACTGGATCATCCACCTACCATCACTGTTGATGATGTGGAGAAGCAGCTTCAGGTAGTTCTGGGTCTGCTCCACCAGGTCCCACGACTGCATTACAGACACAGACGGGATACATTAGGAAAACAGACACTGGGTCACCTCTGTTGCTACAACCTGTGGGAACAGGGATGGAGCTGCAGAACTAAACCGGATCAGAACAAAGCAGGAGGGCAGCCCACCTGGTACCGGGTCCAGTCGATGTTCAAGTTCTGAGAGAAGCGCAGAGGGATCGTCAGAGGAGCGTCCACAAAGTCCTGTGAGTGAAGACGGAGGAAGATCAGAACATGAGCTCAGCATTACCCGGGCCAACATAAGGGACAGAACCGGTACCGGTACCTGGTTCCAGTTAAACACCAGCCCCTCCGCCGTGTAATCTCTGTCTTTGTAGTCCTTAAAAAACTCACAACCTGGAAAACAACAGATCCACAAACAGACCTCAAGGTTCTGACGGGCCGAAACCTGGTTCTGATGAAATATTGCATCAGCAGAATAAAATCCGGGTTGCGGACCGGTTCCCCTGACCTGGGTAAGGCACGGAGAGCAGGGTGAAGTCTGCGTAGCGTTGGGCCTTGTCCACCTTCTCCGAAGACGTCACGCTGCAGAGAGACGAGGACGGCTTTAAAAAACAGAACCGCCCACAGAACCCGACCTGCACCGGATCCGTTTCTACAGGGCTCCCACATATTCAACCTACCCCCTCAGCTCCTCAAACACTGAGTCAGTTACTATGGAAATGCTCCCTGTTTGAGGTCAGAATGAGGAAATAATCTGGATTATTCTAAGGTAGGAAATTCCTTCAATCACTGATCAGAAGGAATCTTTTCTATTCTGCAGCAAAGGAATTTATGGAGTCAGAAAACAGTCAAAATGTTTATAAACTTCTAAATCTTAGTTTAAACTGGAAAAAGAAAAGTTGATATTTAATGTGACTTTTTTATCTTATAATTTGAGAAACTGAAAAGGGAAAAAATAAAATACTAAGAATTGAATCTAAATTCAGTTTAGTATTTTGATTACACTTTTTCTTTTTCTATTTCTTTTCTTTATTGCAGTCGTAGATTTTATATTTTCAGATTCAAATCCATTACTTTCAGTTTTTTTTACACTTTCTTTCACATTCAGACTTTGAGCCCAATCTGACGGTAGTGGGCGGGGAAACGTGATTGACAGCTGGAGAGACGTCCCATTCCATGTTGCATTCCTGAACTGAACAGATTCTCTGCAGCATTTATTTGCCTTTTTGGTAAAATCCTGTGAAAAATCTGACATTTCTGGCTCCATAGAGATTCAGCTGATTAGAAATGCAGTTTTTCACCGTTTCAATCGTTTATTATTTTTTCGGCAGGTAAACAACTGAGAGGTGGAGGAGTTAGCGAGGAGCCAGACTTACTTCAGGCCAAACTTGACCTTCTTGTTCTCCACCATCAGGTCACAGATGTAGCGAACCGACAGATAGCGCAGCAGCTTGATGTCGTGACCTCGAACTTTGTCAAAGAGCTGCGAGTCTCCGTTCCTGAGGAGAAACGGCACGGAGCAGAACCTTTAGAGGGCGGGCGGTGCGGTCTAATGCCTGGATGATACAGGTTAATATCTCCGTTACCTAACTGCTCCGTCGTCCTCTGGGAGCTCCTCTGGTTCTGCCCCGGTGTCGTCGCTGCCCCCTGCAAACCGACCAGGAAGGTTAGGAAGGATTATCTGCCAGCAGCAAATGATTCTGGTTTTTATTGCAGAGAACTTTGCGCTGAATGTTTGACCTCCAGACACAAACAGCTGCTGTTCTCCTCGTTCTGGGTCGGCTCAGACCAATCCCTGCTCCTACGGTTTCATGACAGAGCAGGATGGAAAACCGAACCTCCTGTGTTCTGTGTGCAGACGCGTGTTTCTACCTGAGAAGATGTAGTTGTATCCCGTCCGTCCGTACAGCTCCCCCCAACCTGCCAACGTGGCCGACCGGCAGATGTGCTGCATGAAGAAAGCGGCTCAGATGAGAGGGAGGAGGGTTATTAAAACACAGAGGGTTCCTCCACGCAGAGCTGCAGGGGCGGAGCCAGCAGCAGGCGGACGCCAAGTTGCCCTGGAAACCATCCTGATCGCACCCTCCTGCTGCGTGGAGGAAGCAGAGCTAAAAATGGCTGGTTGGCCGACATGCAACCGATCCCTGCAGCTAAACACGGAAAGAACGGCATCATGCTGAGGTGTGGAGAGCAGCTCAGCTTCCAGCAGACCAGCACTACCACAGACAGGAAAGGTTTAGACTGAAGGGTTAGAGTGGCCTAGTCAAAGGCCCTGAGACTAACCGGGACCCTGAGACTAACCGGGGCCCCTGAGACTAACCGGGCCCCCCGAGACTAACCGGGACCCCTGAGACTAACCGGGACCCTGAGACTAACCGGGCCCCCCGAGACTAACCGGGACCCCTGAGACTAACCGGGACCCCTGAGACTAACCGGGGCCCCTGAGACTAACCGGGGCCCCTGAGACTAACCGGGCCCCCCGAGACTAACCGGGCCCCCCGAGACCAACCGGGGCCCCTGAGACCAACCGGGGCCCCTGAGACTAACCGGGCCCATGAGACTAACCGGGCCCCCTGAGACTAACCAGGGCCCCTGAGACTAACCGGGCCCCCCGAGACTAACCGGGGCCCCTGAGACTAACCAGGGCCCCTGAGACTAACCGGGCCCCTGAGACTAACCGGGGCCCCTGAGACTAACCGGGACCCTTAGACTAACCGGGGCCCCCGAGACTAACCGGGCCCCCCGAGACTAACCGGGCCCCCCGAGACCAACCGGGGCCCCTGAGACCAACCGGGGCCCCTGAGACTAACCGGGCCCCCCGAGACTAACCGGGACCCCTGAGACTAACCGGGACCCTGAGACTAACCGGGCCCCCCGAGACTAACCGGGACCCCTGAGACTAACCGGGACCCCTGAGACTAACCGGGGCCCCTGAGACTAACCGGGGCCCCTGAGACTAACCGGGCCCCCCCGAGACTAACCGGGCCCCCCGAGACCAACCGGGGCCCCTGAGACCAACCGGGGCCCCTGAGACTAACCGGGCCCATGAGACTAACCGGGCCCCCTGAGACTAACCAGGGCCCCTGAGACTAACCGGGCCCCCCGAGACTAACCGGGGCCCCTGAGACTAACCAGGGCCCCTGAGACTAACCGGGCCCCTGAGACTAACCGGGGCCCCTGAGACTAACCGGGACCCTTAGACTAACCGGGGCCCCCGAGACTAACCGGGCCCCCCGAGACTAACCGGGCCCCCCGAGACCAACCGGGGCCCCTGAGACCAACCGGGGCCCCTGAGACTAACCGGGCCCATGAGACTAACCGGGCCCCCTGAGACCAACCGGGCCCCCTGAGACTAACCAGGGCCCCTGAGACTAACCGGGCCCCCCGAGACTAACCGGGGCCCCTGAGACTAACCGGGCCCCTGAGACTAACCAGGGCCCCTGAGACTAACCAGGGCCCCTGAGACTAACCAGGCCCCCCGAGTCTAACAAGGCCCCTGAGACTAACCGGGCCCCTGAGACTAACCCGGGCCCCCTGAGACTAACCGGGCCCCCTGAGACTAACCCGGGCCCCCTGAGACTTATTAAGGCCCCTGAGACTAACCGGGCCCCCTGAGACTAACCCGGGCCCCCTGAGACTAACCCGGGCCCCCTGAGACTAACCCGGGCCCCCTGAGACTAACCGGGGCTCCTGAGACTAACCGGGCCCCTGAGACTAACCGGGCCCCCTGAGACTAACCGGGCCCCCTGAGACTTATTAAGGCCCCTGAGACTAACCGGGCCCCCTGAGACTTATTAAGGCCCCTGAGACTAACCGGGCCCCCTGAGACTTATTAAGGCCCCTGAGACTAACCGGGCCCCTGAGACTAACCGGGCCCCCTGAGACTAACCGGGCCCCCTGAGACTTATTAAGGCCCCTGAGACTAACCGGGCCCCCTGAGACTTATTAAGGCCCCTGAGACTAACCGGGCCCCTGAGACTAACCCGGGCCCCCTGAGACTAACCGGGCCCCCTGAGACTTATTAAGGCCCCTGAGACTAACCGGGGCCCCTGAGACTAACCGGGGCGCCGAGACTAACCGGGGCCCCTGAGACTAACCGGGCCCATGAGACTAACCGGGCCCCCCCGAGACTAACCGGGGCCCCTGAGACTAACCGGGGCCCCTGAGACTAACCGGGCCCCTGAGACTAACCGGGCCCCCTGAGACTTATTAAGGCCCCTGAGACTAACCGGGCCCCTGAGACTAACCCGGGCCCCCTGAGACTAACCGGGCCCCCTGAGACTTATTAAGGCCCCTGAGACTAACCGGGCCCCCTGAGACTAACCGGGCCCCCTGAGACTAACCGGGCCCCCTGAGACTTATTAAGGCCCCTGAGACTAACCGGGCCCCTGAGACTAACCGGGCCCCCTGAGACTAACCGGGCCCCCTGAGACTATCCGGGCCCCCTGAGACTATCAAGGCCCCTGAGACTAACCGGGCCCCCTGAGACTTATTAAGGCCCCTGAGACTAACCGGGCCCCCTGAGACTATCCGGGCCCCCTGAGACTATCAAGGCCCCTGAGACTAACCGGGCCCCTGCTGGAACCCTGCTGGTTACACTCAGTCCTATCTTGTTCTACACGGTTCTGCCTGATTCTGGCTAAAGCCCGGTAAAAGCTCTGATTCTTCCAGCTGGGTTTACTGGTTTACCCCGGCTGGTTGTAACTGAGAGGCAGCTGGTTAAACAGGACTTCCCAGCAGGAGCTGCTCCAAAGATCAGAACCGCAACCAAAGGGAAACAGAATCCAAACGGATTGAAGAGAAGGAAACGATGACGGAGAGGCTGAGCTGAAAGGACCAGAACCTTCTGGATGGAGGTCCAGAAGTAGAACCGTTCGACAGCAGAACGGGGACCAACCTTTCCGTTGTAGAGGATGACGGGGCAGACGAACCGCCCTCTGCAGCGCGCCATCTTGCTCCGGTTCACCAGGTCCTGCAGCTTAGAGATCTGCACCGTGCTCTCAAACCTAAACACACACAGAACCATCAACATCGCTGACTCAGCGTCAGGAGAGCATCATGACTCAGCATCATAGAACATTGCAGCTCAGTAGCGCAGTGGGTAGCACTGCTGCCTTGCAGCTAGAAGGTTCTGGGTTAAATACTTTGTGCAGGGAGTTAGCATGTTCTCCCAGAGCATGCGTGGGTTCTCTCCGGGTACTCCGGCTTCCTCCCACAGTTCAAAAACACGACTGTTAGCTTAATTAGCTTCTTTAGATCCTCCTTAGGTGAGTGTGTGTGTGAATGGTTGTTTGTCTCTGTGTTTCCCTGCGATGGACGGGTGACCTGTCCAGGATGGACCCCGCCTCTCACCCGTAGACAGCTGGAGATAGACACCTGCACTCCTCGCCACCCCACTGTTAGGTAGAACGCCGCAGACTCTGCGTCAGTAGAACATCGCAGACTCATCGCTGAAATCCAGACCGCTGCCATATCTTGCTCAGCTGAAACGCCTGCTGTCGCCATGTTTTGCTTGCTGGTTGCTATAGTGTGATTGGAGGAGGTGTTTATGATGCAACGAACTGGTTCCAGTGGAACAGCCCTGAACCGGACCGTGTGCAACGCTTCCGACAAACCGCCCACAACCAAACGTGAATGCGAACCTTCCACCACAACAATCCCGCCCCCTTGATAAACAATCAAGATCAGCTGGTATCAAACAGACTTCTAGGACTATTTTGGTACTGACCAATGTTGGTCAACACATCGTATCGGTCCGATAAATGGAACGGCTCTTTGGTCATGTAATAGAATGCAGCAAAGGATTGTGGGTGTTTGTCTGAGGCAGAGAAGAGATGTCAGTGCTGTGGTCCGTTTGTCATGGCGTCGGAACTATCGGTCATAAAACTGGACATCAGCTCCAAGTTTGAAATCCTAAACGATCAACAACAACATGAGGCAGGGGTTGCTAAGCAACAGGCCCATCTGAGCTAATACTGGAGCTTCTAGATGAAGGCAGATATAATGAGCCCTGTTTAAACCCACTGAAGGTTTCTGTCAAACCGTTCCTGTAATGCTGCGTTCAGACCGCACGCAGCAGGAGCAGCAAAAACTAACGCAGCGCTTCATTATTTATGCTTGTTCCACTTTAGATCTGATGCGGTGGTGAAGTGGTGGAAAAGTGGGTCTGATGCGCAGTGGGCGGAGCTACCCTTTCCTTTCTCTGCCTGGAACAATGGCGGCTATATTAGCTGTGATCAGCGGGTAGAAAGTAGTTAGAATCTATGTTGAAGTGAGAAAGTCCTCCTGAAAACATGGTCTGTGCAGTCAGTTCATCCAGATTACCATCCTGCCTTCAAAGATTATTTCTCTGTGGGAGCCGCTCAGACCCCCACATACCGGCGCTGCGCTGTCACTGGGAATCCCCAGCAGCAGCTGCCTCAGGCCCGCTCGCCTCTCCAGGGTTTTCCCCTCCTGTTGGTGGCGGCTGGAAGTAGATGTTAGCGTTTTTCAGGTCTGTGCTACAAACTGCAGGCAGCAGGATAATAAAAGCCAACATATTCTGCCGGCAGGTTTCTACATTTGAAGTTAATTTAGGCGTTAATAAACTGTTTCAGAGGAGTGATCATAGCGCTCTGCATCAGCAGCGCTGCGTCTGACTCCCTGCCAGCTCCCAGATCAGCTTCTCTGATTGGTTGATGAGGCGCGTCCAGCAGATAAAGTTAAAGGTTTCCAACTCCTGCAGCTGCAGCTCAGATGCTCAGAAGCTTCTCCTGCTGCTCCTTCATGCGGGTCAACCATTGATTTTCCATGGAAACCAGCAGCTTCTGCTGCCTGCGGGCTGAATGTAGCATGAGCTCAGCAGCTCTATTACTGTCATTTTTGTAGTTCTTTGTGTTTTAACGATAAATCCCACAGAAACCTTTTATGGGATGTCGTCTACCAGATCTGGATCTATGCCAGAGGCATCCCAGAGCCTCAGAGGTTACTAAGTTTTCACTTTTGAAATCTGTAATTCATTAAATCCGGTAACTTCCCCACAAAGAGACCAGAGTCTCTGTACGCTCTGACTTTCCATCATTTAAGGATCAGAAATAGTTCTTGTATTTTTCAGTGCAGCTCCTAAATGCAAACATTTGACTGTGAAACACTGAAGCAGGACCCAGCAGGAGATTCCTCTGCACCAATCAGCAGAGGGACGTGTTGCTTTTTGTTTCCTGTTTCTGCAGCAGCAGCGCCTCATGTGACAGAGATCTCACTTCCTCCTCTATTAGCTCCAGCCCAGGGCTGACCTTTGCCCCCTGCATCACAGGCGGCCTGCTGAAGGACACCGCTGCTGGCTGAGCCACCTGGACTTTGTATCCAGGGGTGCTGGGACCTACCTGTCTCTGTTCGGCTCCGGGGATTCATACTCCAGGAAGACTATCTGCCGGGGGTAGTGGCCGCAGACCTCTCCGTTGGAGTTGGAGATGATGCTGTACTTGTAATCTCTTCCAAAAAGCTCCAGACATCGTTTCTCTATCATCTCCACCTGCAGGAGGAGGGGGCAGGTTCATATGAGTGACAGCACATGCTTCAAACGCTCAGCTCCTCCTTTCCACTTGCATTTAGATCAATGGTCTGGCTGTTGATTCCTGCAGCCAGACCAATTAGTGACTCTTTCCATGGTGGTCATTTCTTTCTAAGCTCGTGCTGAGGTAAAGTCTGCCATCTTACCCGGGGGCTGACCTCCTTCGCTCTGTACTGGGTCCTGGAGAACAGCTCGATCAGCTCCGCGATCTGCTCGCCCTTCCTGACCGACAGCCCGGGGAACGGGAAGCCGCCGGCCGCGGTGGGGGAGGCGGCCATCATGGCGCCTGGAGCCGCGGCGGTAGCTTCCAGCCGCACCCGTCCGCCCTCAAACACCGCAGCGCCGTGTCCTCTGGAGCGGGGAGACCGAGCAGGCCATCCCTTCCCGGCGAGCTTCTTCCTGACTGCCCGCTGCAGGGGGCCGGAGCCGGGAGGCCGTCCTGGATTCACGGCAGCGGTGAGCAGCTCCTCCCCGCCTGAACTCCAGCCGCTGGCGGGCCGCGGGCAGCCGGTGCCCCGGGGAGAGCAGCAGGGAGCCGCCGCTGCGGAGCAGGAGACCACGGAACCAACCGGAACCGATCTGAGGGTTTGGACCCGTCAGTACCAGCCGATCCTCCGGTGCTGCTCAGCGGGTCATCCACGGTCCTCTGGAAGGTCCAACAAAACCAGACCAGACCCGAACCAGGACCAGACCCAGACCACGGTACAGTAATGTGACCGACAGCTCAGCAGGACGGTCCAGCGTACAGAGTTTCACAAACAAGCGATAAACAGGAAGTTGACTAAATCACGTGACTGAGATCGACCCTCTGATTCCATCCTGGTAAACAACACCGCGGCGCTTCACCGCCACCTACCGGTGAGCTCTTAGAATGCAGGTGGAATGTGTGGAACATGCTGGGGGTCATTTTCCAGGAAAGCAGGTTATTTCCTCCAGCTGAAGCCAAACTGATCCTTTACGGAAGAGGATTAGGGCCACTGAAAAAAAAGTTAACTGATTTTAAAATTTTATTTCAGTTTAACATGGGAAAAAAGTCAGAATTCTGACTTTAATCTCAGAATTCTGACTGAATTTTGACAATAAAAAATGTCAGAATTCTGAGATTAAAGTCAGAATTCTGACTTTTTCCCATACTATATAATTATTTTTTTTTTCAGTGGCCCTAATCTTCTTCCGTAGATCCTTCAGGTGTTTACATGGAACAAGATAAATAAATACATTTAAGAAATGCAACAAAATAATACTTTTTAAATTATAGGTATTTACAGAAAAATGTTCCTCCACATGATTTTTCGGTCCTAAGAAGTTTAACATAGTTTTTTTTTCTAAATGTACAGGTCTACCTTTTGAATAACAATATATTTTCAATAAAGTATTTTGTATTTAGCCTGTATTGTGTTTTCATTTTTAGTTAATATACTTGTATAGCTGTACATTTTTGTGCTGTGGCTGCAGCTTAACGGTTATTTTACAAATTACCCAAAGGTTCCTGAAAGCAGAAGTTGCTCATATTCAGAATTCAAACTTCTGAAAATACATTAAATGTGAAATGATTCCATCCTGTTCAATAAATGATCAGTGTTTTTAATTCAGAGTAATTTTCATGTGAATGTGCTTTACTGGAGGCATCCATGTTTGTCAAAGAGGCGTGTCTCTATTCCCCTTTTAACGGTTAATCAATGACTCAAATAGTTGACGATTATTGAAATAAATGATTGTTTCAGCCCTAGATGCAGGGAATGGCAACTGACCAAGATCCAAATAAAAGATCAGAACACGCTAATAAGACCTTTTAATCAGACATGATAATCAGCAATGTTCTGCTGGAGGAGGCCCTGCAGCTGTTGGTGGGGTCCTGACCTGTCCCTGTAGCAGGTCTCCTCAGCCCATAGTCCTCTTCCAACCCTTCACACCCTCACTCATTACCCCCGCATGTTAGCTCTAAAATGGACCTCACATTTTCTAATCTTCTGATCTCTGCTGCCCGAGGGCCACAGCAGTAGTTTTGTTTTTAGCTGAGGTCAGGGCCCCACATCAGTCTGGGGGCCACTAATAATCCTGATCCTCTGACAGGGTGGCCAGAGAACCGATGGATGGCCAAACCCTTAGCTCCAGGGGGCGGGGCTTAGGGCTTGGCCACCCATTGGTCAGCCCTGGCTGCAGAGTCCGGGCTCCGATCTGGAAGCTGCAGAAGAAGCAGTTTCCCTCTGAGCCAGAGGGTGGCAGCAGTGATCCTCTCAAATGGATAGTTCTATTTTAGCTGTTATTATTTAACAACAACCTCACAGAAATTAAATATTTACATCAATATAGCAACATTAAAGATATCAAACACAATCCAGGCTCTTCTCAGAGCTGCTCTCTGGGTTTTATAGGGAAAACGTTCGTCTCCTTCAAACATCAAGGAGCCACAGCCACCTCCAACCATCAGCTTTTACTGCATGAGAGGGGGCTGGATTTGGGACGCCTAACCCCACACTGCTCCCTGGGGGCCACACAGGGGACAGGTGAGATGCAGAGAGAGAACTTCCACATTGAGAAACAATAAAGGGATATGCTGCTTCAGATTCTCAGTCATCCAGGTCACAGTCATTCCAACAAAAGTTCAAAATCAATCCACTGGACTTTGTTTCCAAGTTTGAAGACGTTTCTCTTCCATCCAGGAAGAGTTTTCAATTTAAAATGTAAGAAATAGCGTTTAGTTTGAGATTCTTTTGATAACCAGAATGTTCACATTTTGGACAAAGAAGACAGGTGGTTTGAGAGGGGCGTGAAGGAAGCCATCTATGTTAAGCCGTAGGCGGCTCCCTGGCGCTTTTTAAAAAATTTATAGGGAGAAAATGTTTTTTTGTGTTTTAATACGGTGTGCAGCAGGTCAAACAAAAATGAATGATGTTTTCCAATGCTGTAAACATTTGTATAATAAATAAATGTAAACAATAATCAGCCTCATAGCCATAGAGATCAGTGGTCATAACTTGCAACCATTGCAGCGCGCTGCCAGGCTAACACAGCTGCAGGTGAGTCTCTAACTATGGATCCCAATGGGGAAAAAAAGAAGATAGCTGATGAGGAAAGAGGATTCAAAGAAGAAAAGAGCGAATCATTTGCTTTCATTATCAAAGAGGAAGGATTGCCTCCATGTTTGCTTTGGAAGGAGAGGTTGGCCAAAAATAAAGAGTCATTAGGAAAGACTTTTCCAGGGAAGGCTAAATCTGCAGCCCACCACCAAGCTGGGGGGGGAGAGAAAAGATAGATTTAAGAAGCAGATTTTATCTCCAAACTCCACTGCTGCTGCTAGTTTGGCTGCAAGGATGGAAAAGCCTCCACAGACCTAACAGGCAGCTCTGATGCAAAGCCCCAAATCCTAAAAATCTAAATCCTTTCAGGGTCAGAGAGCTCTGCTCTGATGATGTCACTTCCTGCTCGGTTCCTCAATCAGCTCCTCCCAACAGAAACACGTCCACCATAGAAAGATTCCTTTATCCAGTTTGAAGCGGCGCGTGATGGGAGCGTTCACTGCTCCTCCCTCACCTCAGGCTGCTATGTGACATTTGCTCCTGGATAAACATTTAGTCATGAATGCTTATTAAATATTTAAGCCCACATAGTCCTTTTCTATAGTGGGATAAAACATTTAGTGTTGCCATACGAGGCTTATAGAAGACTTTTACATTTTTGCAGCTCCTGACAGATTTATTTTTTGTTTTTTGGTCCAATATGGCTCTTTGAGCAGTTTGGGTTGCTGACCCCTGAGATAGGCAGACAATTTCCACTAATGACCTCCCCCTTCAGAGATATAGACAGGTATGGGGCATTGCAGGCTAACAAAGAACCCCCATTCCAAAGGGGGGGACCCGTTCATCCGTTTCTATTTGCATGTTTTCTAAACTAAAACCAGGCTTTGTTGGGCTACGTCTTCAAACTTGGAAACAAAGTCCAGTGGATTGTTGTTGGAACGTTTTTGGAATAAAGTGAATTACCTTTCATTCATATGATCCTAGAGATGCACGATATTGGGATTTTGGCCGATATCCGATATGCCGATATTTTAAAACTCATGTAGCCGATAACCGATATCGATACCGATGTTAAAGCTGGACAAAAATAAGTAGTCATTGAAAATAGCAGTTTTGTTATCCATTTCTGACACTTTGAAAAATAATATACTCAAATATATTTTCATATGCTGATATCAAATAGATTTTTAAAAACGTGGTATCGATCTATTTTACTTTCAAAATCTTGTGAAATTTCATCGTTCTGTTACAAACTCTCGTGATATTTTGCAAATTCTTGTGAGATTTTGTTAGTAAAATAGATCGATACCGCGTCAATATATCAACATATAAAAATATGGCAACATTTGGTGAATTTTCGGGGGATTTCGTAGCATAACGATGACATATAGCAATATTTCATTAGTAAAAGAGATTGATATGGTGTTTTTAAATGGCAATATATCAGCATATGAAGGTATTGGGATATTTTAATGGATCAATATTTTTTCCCTCGTCTTTAGAAGTTTTTAAGTCTGTAAAAAAGAAGTTTTTGAGGAACAATAGGAGTATTTTTTTTTTAGACATTAGAAACTCAGAAGCTGATCAAATATCGGGTTAAATATCGGCCGATACCGATAGGGGGCCGATTATATCGTGCATCCCTAAATGATCCCTATAATCTGCCTGATGTTGCGATCATTTCCCAGTGGGGAAGCTTTCTGCTAGCTGTAGTGATTTCAGGCGCTGCTCCTCCATCTGACGCCGTTCAGAGGCCTGATGATGGCGGCAGCTGGACGTTTGCATGGTGATTGTAAAGTTATTACCAAAAGGAGAACGATCTCTGACTTTAGGAGGGCCCGGTTGTGGTTCTGTCGGTACAGCGTCTGAGCAGGCCACTGCGGTTTGAAAACCGTTTGGTGTGTTTGGACCTTTTTCCCGCTGTTAGTCAGCGTTTGTGGAACAAAAAACATTTGCATGAATTCATTTCTAAGGTTTAGAAATCTTTCCAAAATAATCTGAAATGTAACTTAATAATCCATCCGAAATTTACTCCTTTTAATTTCCTGAGAGATGCAAACGAGTGCAGCTGATAGGTGGAGGTCAGAGCCGGCTCCTCTGATTGGCTCTGAGCAGAGAACCAGAAACCTTCCAGCTACCCTGATCGCTACCTGCTGGTCGGATGTTTTGGGTGCAGCGGTGAAATTACGATGCATCGTCATTTGGAAACGCTGGCTTCCTAAACGGCACAGGATTGGATATGATCTCTGGATTACATTCCACCGCTCCTCAGCTACACTACTAATATGGAAATCCTCTAACTGAGGCAGTAAGTGAGACACTTTGCCAATGGAATTTACATTTCAATGGTAAATTCAATTTATATTAAAATAAGAAAAAATTAGATTATTTTAAGGTCATAATTAGACTTAGATTTGTCATTTAGTTTAGACAAGTGTAAAAAAAAAAAGAAATTTCATTTGGAAACTGCTCTCTGGACAATTTCATCTTATTTAAAAGTGCAGCCTTGAAAAACAGTAATAAAATAGTAATAAAAACAGAAATATAAACATGACTAGATTTCTAACATTTTTTTTATATAATGATAAAATTTAATAAAATACAATAAAACAATCCTTTTTACAGAACATTCATCAGTGTGATGGCGGTGGGGAAGAAGCTGTTGCAGAACCTGCTGGTCCTGCATTGAATGCTGGGAAGCCTCCTCACCTACAGACCTCAGCTGACGTCCAGCAGCCAATAGCAGAGGGTTGTATTGAAGCCCAGCTGTTCCAGTTTGCCCATCAGATGCTGTGGGATGATGGTGCTGAAAGCTGAACTGAAGTCCAGGAACAGCATCCATCGTGGGTGTTCTTCTCCTCCAGGTGTGCCAGGCTCAGGTGGAGCGGTTCCGTCGGTAGGCGAACTGGAACGGGTGGAATGTTGGCGGCAGACTGGAGACGATGTGTTCTTTAACCAGCCTTTGGAAGCACTTCATCATGATGGGAGTCAGAGCGACAGGCCGCTAATCATTGAGGGAGGCGACCTGAGGCTTCTTTGGGACTGGAATAATGGAGGCAGGCTGGAAGCATGCTGGCACTATGGATTGGTCCAGCAAGGTGTTAAAGATGTCTGTGAGGACACCAGCCAGCTGATCTCCTTATACACCTGCCCAGGTATGTTATCAGGCCCTGGGGCCTTCCTCTGATTAACTCTCCTCAGAGTTTTCCTCCCTTCAGCTACGTCCAGGTTTAGTGCCTCCTGCTCAGAATAAAGCTAAATCAACATAATTTAAGACATTTTTACTGAAATTTAGATCATTTTTGCAGCCTAAACTTGGGTCAAATAAATGCCAGCTTTAACTTCCTTTATTTTTATTTTTTTTTTAAACCACCCAGTTGAAAATTGGACTCCTTTAAAAAGTGTGATAAGAATTTGCAGATGAAACATAATCAGGCTAGTCAGCAAACACTTTACTGATTATTTTATTATCAAAATGCATTACATCTCTTGCTTCTTAAATCTCTTAGAGAACAATTGAAATAGTAACTACTATGATCTGTGGAAAAGAAAAAAGAAAAGCAACAGAAAAGTTGTTTCCAAACCCAGAGAGAGAGAATGCGGTTCATTCCAACAGACACCACGCCATAATTCAGTGTACTATATATTCTCCATCACATTCTTTCTGTACACAGAATCCTACATCTAATCCTATCAGCTGTTTCAGGTGGGATGTGTTTTTAAGGTGCTGGTTCGTTTCAGGTCTTATTCTGTCAAACATTCGTGTAATCTGGGCGCCCTCCTGTGCCTTGGTGGGCTGTAGTGACACCTGGTGGTGGATGGGGGCTCCTTTCATTCCCCTCCTTCCCCTCAGAAAGTCCAGGAGGAGGGGGGGGGGGGGGGGTCCTGCTGCTGCTCGGCTGATGCCTCCAGTCTGATTGATCTCTGGAGATCTCCTTTTTAAAAGTCGCCGTTTAAAGATAATAAAAAAGGCTAAAATGAAAGTCAGAGAATGCTGGGAAAGGAGCAGCTTTCACAGGAATGTGTAGCAGCTTTTTAATCACCTCTGATCCAGAAAGGATCTAAATGCTTCCTTAGAAAGCTGCTGTGCAGCGGCGGGTCGGAGAGGAACCCAGAGATCCCAGCAGCAAAGAAAAGGTCCGCTTCCTGAACGCCAAGCGACCCGCAGCAAATACAGCACGGGCGGCGCCGAGGCGCGCGGGGAAAACGGTCTGCAGCACCATGAGTCCGAGGACCCGCACGTCTTCAGCAGGATTCCGGATTCTTCCCAAAGTTAACCCCCCAAACAGAGCAGAAAATGAACCAAACCAGCAGAACGTGTCCAGATGGATGCGGAACAGCCGGTTTCCCTCCTGGAACCAACCCGACCGCTGAGGGAAACGCAGGAGCCAAACCCGAGCCTGATGGAGCCCAGCCGGTTACCGTGGTGACAGGCTGCATGCGTCCGGTTTCAGGGTTCCTCTCGATGTCCTCCTGAAAACAAAACAACCAGAAAAGGAGGAAACGTCTCCAGAAGTTCTCGCTCCTCTAATGTCTCTCCATGTGGTCCCTGGCCCCCCCCTGCGGACCCCAGTCCTAGAAGCTTCCTGACTGCGTCCTTACTCCGGGGCCCTGGTGGGGGGGGTGCTGGTACTGACCGAGGGCCGCTCCCTGCGGGGAGTAGTGCGAGGGTCCAGGAGCGCCCGGCAGCCTGGAGCTGGCCTGCAGCGCCCCCTGGCTCGGGCTGCTCGCCTTCAGGCTGCGAGACGCCTGCTGCGGACCCCCTCTAGAGGCCTGAGCGCTCAAGTCCATTTTATTGTGTCCGGGGGCCCGGGGCCCCGACGCTTCCACTAAGCTGCTATTCAGGGAGCTCGTCTTTGGATGGTCGCTGCCGTAGCCGTGGAGCCCGTCGGCCCCGCCGCCGCCGCTCTGCTGGTGAAGGGAGTCCGAGACGAGCGCGGGGGTGGGGCTGGGGTAGGAGGTGTGGAGGTCTGGGGACAGTCCTGGCTGGGAGGAGGAGGAGAAGCGGGGGTAGAAGCTGTGGCTGGGGGAGGGGCTGTCGGCCTCCTGATGACTTTCTGTAGACTGGACACATGGCGGCGGTTAGTACACCTTCAGGAGCAACAACCATAGTAACAGAAGCTAATCAGGATATTCTCATGGCCTCAGATAATGGACTTGTATCTGTGCTCGTCCTGTTGGATCTTAGTGCTGCATTTGATACAGTTGACCATAATATTCTTTTAGAAAGACTTGAATATTTTATTGGAATTAAAGGAACAGCACTAGACTGGTTTAAATCTGATCTATCTGATCGAATTCAGTTTGTTCATGTTAAGGATAGATCTTCCTCATGCTCAAAGGTTACCTGTGGAGTACCACAGGGATCAGTGCTAGGACCAATTCTCTTTACTTTATACATGCTCCCAATTGGTAGAGTTATTAGACAGCATGGGATTAATTTCCACTGTTATGCTGATGATACCCAGCTATATCTGTCTATAATCCAGATGAAGCTAACCCATTACATAGATTACAGGCATGTCTTGAAGACATAAAAACCTGGATGACTCTTAATTTTCTGCTTCTGAATGCAGACAAAACAGAAGTTATAGTCTTTGGACCAGATTAGGGCTTCAACAACGAATCGATAAAATCGATAAAAATCGAATTTTAAAAGCGTCGGCAACGAATTTCATCATCGATTAGTTGTGTCGGGCGATTAATGCGTCATCCGCCGCCGCCTTCATCACTGCCACTCGATTGAAACGGGGGAAGAAAAAATAAAATACGGCAGAGCGAGCCAGCGCCGCAGGTGAGCAAAGGCTGTTTTCAAAAGGCAGAAACGTCAACTGTTCTAATGACCGATACCGCAAACGGAAGCTGCGTCTCAATTCGCAGACAGCCTGCGCTTCGTAAGGCGAAAAAAGTCGTAACATGCAACTTTAGTAAAAACAAATGAACATGGCGCGGAAGCACCGCTGTTATGATGCAGCACCTGAAAAGGAAACACGATGGAGCCTTCGATGGCGTGAAGAGAGCTGATCAGCAGGGTGAGCGGCCATGTTTGTTTGGTTTTAAAGTGGGGAAACGTAACGTTAGTTTCTCAGGTAGCTCATCTGATGCTTTCCTTACCGTGTTAGTGGGTTACAGACAGGGATAAGGTTGGCTACTTATTTTACTTTTAATTTCATTTGAATTAGCTTAAGCAGCGTTTACATTTACTTTATAAATAAATTAACTTGCAAATTATGAGGGCAAGGCTTTTAAAGTTTAAATCTTCTGGCAAAGATAAAGTAAAGAAGATCCTGCAATTTATGGAAGTAAAGCAGAATAAAATCCAGCAAGATCAGTAATATGTCAATTAATTATCTGCCACATTCCCATGTAAATATCTGTCTTTGGAGGATGTGTTTTTTAGCACCCCTAGTTCTCTCATTTTTATTCCAAATACAATTTATAATTTGAATCACAGGCTATTTTTATCTCTATGGTTCAGTATTTTCTCAAGTAGCAACTTTAACTGCTATACTTTCCTGTCTTAAAAGGCAGAACTCTTCTAGTCTAAAAAAACTCATTTGTTGAAATGGGGGGGCCTATTGTTGGAACCCCTTAGGGGCTTTAAAAACAAAAATGTCTTTTTTTGCGCTTTATGAAACAAAGTAGCCTATATTTTGTGGATGTACAGCTACATTTCTCATGTAAGTTTGCGTAGTTTTAACACAAACATTTATTTTTCATATTGCACCAGTACAGTTAATGAGCAACCTGTACTTGTGTGCTTGTTTGTTCTGAATAAAATGTTTATTTTGGAATAGAGGTTAATATAAAAAATATTTTTTGTCCGATTCATCGATTGATCGAAAAAATAATCGGCCGATTCATCGATTTTTAAAATAATCGTTAGTTGCAGCCCTAGACCAGAGTCTTTGAAAAAGAAGCTGATTAGTTTGTCACTTCATTTGGATGAGATTAAACTGATTTTAGATAATAGAATAGAAACAAACTGAATTAAACTCTGGACTTTGACTAGGCCATTCTAACACTAGCTTACATTTACATGGAGTTTGATTGTGTCCAATTCCTGCTGTAAAGTGTCCAAAGCTGAAGTGTGGATCTGGCTGGTAGGTCCGCCGTGGAACGGAATCTAACCCCAACCCTTCATCAGAATTTACTTTTACTTTCTGTCACAAGATCTCCCCGTCAGAAAAAAATCCCTCCTTTCTAGATGCAGGTGAAACCCTGCAGACTACCTGGTGTGAGAAGACTGCGTTGCTCTTTGTGGAAGACGCCACGGGTCCCGCTCGCCTCTCGTATCGGTCAGCATCTGGGAACAGAGTAAAGCATCAGAGACGGACTCGGTGGGTTCTTTCATTTCTCTGAAACATGGAAGGTCTCTGCTTTTACCCGGCTCTTTGTTTGCTGAGCCGTCGCTCTTCCTGTAAATGCGATCCATCTTGATGCTCAGGACTCGCTGACCTTCCCTTAGACGCTCGACCGTGGTCGGGACCATCCTTTGAACGACACGAAGCCGGCTGTGATTTCTCTGTTACCATGAACGCGCTTTGAAATGTCACCGCAGCTTCTCACCACTGGTTGTTGGACTCCTCCCGTTTGGACTTCAGCGACGTCCTGTGGAGGTCTGAATGGCTGGCCTCCTCCGGGGGCGGGGCCAGAGTGTTGGAGTGCGGGGAGGCCGGGGGCTGCCTCTGCTGATGGGAGTCAGGCCTGCTTCTGGCTGCTGCTTCAGACTCACGGCTGCTGCCCGCCTTCCTCTTGCGGTATTCCAGCAGAGACACCTGAAGGAAGAGGAGGTGTAATGAAGATCAGGCTGCAGACACCTCCCATCGCTCTGTGATGCCAGGCGGCCAAACCAACCACATTATTCTGACAGATGAGAGGCCACATGCAGCACTACCCACATCTGCTGTCTGGAAGGAAAAAAACAAATCTCCTGGCCCCGTTTCCTGGCCCTGGACACTGACTTTGAGCTCCTCCTTACGTCTCTGCTGTGGATCGATTGTGTTCGCTTTGAACATCAGGCAGGCAACGGAGGACGCAGCACGCCATGATGCAACCACGCTCAAAACTCCACAGAAACACACAAAGGTTCACAGGGGGTTCGAGCACACACACACACACACACACACACACCTCCACTGGTAACAATGAGAGACTGATTCGGCTGCATGTCATCAGCAAAGAAACAAACAGGGAGGTCACCACATGGTCACAGCGACATGGATGGTCTGGCCTTGGAATGAAAACAGGACTGCCAGCGTTTATGAAGCAGTTATGGAGCTCCTTTCTACAGCCTGTTCTGTTTGGGAGGAACAGCTGGACAGAGATAAGATCAGAAGCAGAGCAGGTTGAGGCCAGCGGCTGGGCGCCCAGCGCAGAGAACGCTTCGTTCACGCCGCACGCGCTTTGAGCCGCAGAAGCAGCCGTTGTTCTGTCAGACCAGCATACCATTTCTTCCCGTGATGGATGGATTTCTTCATCCAGCTGCAGACTGTGGCTAAAATCATTTCATTTATAAAATCCCTGAAGTCTGGTTCACCCTAATCAACTGTCTTTAGATAGAAAATATCCAAGATGCTGATCTCTGTGAGATGAGTTCATCTTGGTAAATGTAAAGGAGTCTGACTCTGCCAATGTCTGAAAGAGCCTAGATCCTGCTAAATCCGCTTCTCTGAGCCTCTAACTGTATAATAGTGCTATTATTTCACCAGAGCAATGAAATAAGCGGTATTTGATGCATCTCTGAATAATCCCTCTGAGTTTTGCTGTCTGAGCAGCAGCCCCTGCCTGTCCCTCCAGGAAGCCTTAACTGCCCTGCGCCCGTACCGTAGTCGGACAGTAACTTCATCCGATGATGAGAGGCAGAGCGCCGTGATTCCAGCGGCTCCTTTACTAGCTAATCTGAACAGGGCAATAACTTTTCTTTTTTAACTCATGCCTAAATAATGAGAATCCAGTTTTTAGGCTCTGCTCAGCCTTCAGAAGTGGTTTAATACGGTGAAATCACGAAATAGGTGACTTCACCGTAAAGACGAGGGTTCTTCTTTGGGGACGGAAGAAAACTATTTGATTTAGACAAATTTATACCCATGTAGCGCTAAAGGTATAATAGGGGACTTTGAAAGGCTTAAAAAGCAGGTTAAAGCATCTCTAATAACATCCTAAACCAGTTAGTCTATGGTGTGCAGCTTGGATCCTAAACCAGTTAGTCTATGGTGTGCAGCTTGGATCCTAAACCAGTTAGTCTATGGTGTGCAGTTTGGGACGGACTGTAAAGCGGTGCCGTTCTTGGCCAGATGTCTCCCAAAAACAGATCTCTTAATCTCAATGAGATCCACCTAACTTCAGCTTTGTCATAACACTAAACAGCTCCTGATTAGTTTGATGACAAAAAACCATGTCGTTCAACCAGTAACCAGTAACCGCTGTGGCAGCCAGAAATAACGTAAGCCCGTCTGCTGCAGCCAGGGATAACGTTAGCCCGTCTGCGGCAGCCAGGGATAACGTTAGCCCGTCTGCGGCAGCCAGGGATAACGTTAGCCCGTCTGCGGCAGCCAGGGATAACGTTAGCCCGTCTGCGGCAGCCAGGGATAACGTTAGCCCGTCTGCGGCAGCCAGGGATAACGTTAGCCCGTCTGCGGCAGCCAGGGATAACGTTAGCCCGTCTGCGGCAGCCAGGGATAACGTTAGCCCGTCTGCGGTAGCCAGGTGTTAGCCCGTCTGCGGTAGCCAGGTGTTAGCCCGTCTGCGGTAGCCAGGTGTTAGCCCGTCTGCGGCAGCCAGGGATAACGTTAGCCCGTCTGCGGCAGCCAGGGATAACGTTAGCCCGTCTGCGGCAGCCAGGGATAACGTTAGCCCGTCTGCGGCAGCCAGGGATAACGTTAGCCCGTCTGCGGCAGCCAGGGATAACTTTAGCCCGTCTGCGGCAGCCAGGGATAACGTTAGCCCGTCTGCGGCAGCCAGGGATAACGTTAGCCCGTCTGCTGCAGCCAGGGATAACGTTAGCCCGTCTGCGGCAGCCAGGGATAACGTTAGCCCGTCTGCGGCAGCCAGGGATAACGTTAGCCCGTCTGCGGTAGCCAGGTGTTAGCCCGTCTGCGGTAGCCAGGTGTTAGCCCGTCTGCGGCAGCCAGGTGTTAGCCCGTCTGCGGTAGCCAGGTGTTAGCCCGTCTGCGGCAGCCAGGTGTTAGCCCGTCTGCGGCAGCCAGGGATAACGTTAGCCCGTCTGCGGTAGCCAGGTGTTAGCCCGTCTGCGGTAGCCAGGTGTTAGCCCGTCTGCGGCAGCCAGGTGTTAGCCCGTCTGCGGTAGCCAGGTGTTAGCCCGTCTGCGGCAGCCAGGTGTTAGCCCGTCTGCGGCAGCCAGGTGTTAGCCCGTCTGCGGTAGCCAGGTGTTAGCCCGTCTGCGGCAGCCAGGTGTTAGCCCGTCTGCGGTAGCCAGGTGTTAGCCCGTCTGCGGTAGCCAGGTGTTAGCCCGTCTGCGGTAGCCAGGTGTTAGCCCGTCTGCAGCGTGTTCCTTATTATTCCCCCACTGAATGTAAAACGTCAGAAGAGACTATTAATACCAGGAGGTGAAATGCAGCTCCTGACTAGCTTTGAATGTGGTGATGTCATCAGGACGATTCTGTTCTAACTGACCCAGATTTATTCTTCGTGCTCCCGTTCTCCCCGAGTCCAGACTTTCCTGTATTCTTCTCAAGAACAGACTTGGCGAGGACACATGTCCGTACTGGCGTTCTTGTGAATTGAAAAACGCTCACTGTGTGTATTCTCATACAGGTTTCTTCTCATGTAGCCTGGTGGATATAGTCAGTATACTTTTCAAAGGAAATATCGCTGCTCTCCAAAATACTTTCTCCCAGTTTTTTGTGGAAGAAACTGCTTCATGGTGACGATTCATGAACCATTGGCCTGATGGCAACGGATGAGCGTTTCCACACAGAGATGAGTTGGGCTGAAATGGCTCAATAACCCAGAGGTTCTTGGGGACTCGATGCATGTTTGGGGGTGGGGGTGTCAGAGCATGGCGTGGGTGCTGAATGCAGATGCAAAAAATTAAAAGCCAAAACAATATTTACATGCACACTTCTAAAGATGTATTTGTAGGGAGCATATTCACCATATTATGTACTGGCTTGTTTTGACTTCTTACTGCTATAGGCTGGTATTCTGCCTTTCCTGTCAGCAGACTAATGGTATGCTGGTTGGCCCTCTGCCTTGGAAGAAAAGCGGAAGAGAAACTTGGCAAAGAGTGTGAAGGAGCATCAAGGGGGGAAGGGTGGCTGAGGAAGGAGAGGGAGCAGATCTAAAGAGATTCAGATACACAAAAGCAGCTACAAAGGTTCCTGCTAACAGAGTGGGACGTGACGAGCTGACGGGGGCCACAGAGCGCGCTGGAAACACATCATGATGTTGTTGTTGCACTTAAAGACATGATTAAGAAACAACATTGAGGATGGGGGGGAACTTGCCTTCTTCTTCTGCGGAGGGTTACTGGTGTGAGGGGAAGTGCTCCGATCCGGGTAGCCCGCTCCGTAATGGCTCTCTCCGAACGGCGACATGGAGCCGGAGCCCACGTCCCCTACCAGCCCCTGTCCACTTAGGGAACTGTGTAAGGAATCTATGGGAGAGAGACCCCCGTCCACCTGGGAGTGGCGGCGCTCCGAGCTCAGAGGGATCCCCAGGTTGGCGTTGAGGGGGGAGCAGGTGTAAATGAGGTTGAACTCTGTCCTGAAGGCCCTCTCCCTGTTTTTGGAGTCTGAGGAAGGACACGGCACAAGGTTAAGGGACCCGGCCCCCGCAGACGACTGGCCGCGGCAATCCTGCCCTGAAGCAGCTGTGGGGAAGTCGTCAGACGTCGCGGCCGCCGGGTTCTCCGAGCTGGACGGGAGCGGCAGGTCCACAAACGGGGGCCTGGGAGAGTCAAAGCCCGCCTGCAGAGAAGGCTGATGGAAGGGAGGAAAGAGAGGGAGACAAATGGTGACTCTGGAGACCGAGAGCTCAGCCGGCCGTCACATTTGGAGCCAAGCTGTGGGAACCAACCTCTGGAGAGATGGACTCTGGTCGGTGGACAGGAGAAGCCTCAGGAGACGAGATGTTCTAAGGATGGAAAACAGAGCTGCAGTTAAAGTCCATTTCTCTGCACCGAGCAGGTATATAAAACAATCAATGGAATAAAATGATTTATGTTCAGAATAAGGACATAAAACCAAACGTCTAAAAGGGTTCCTACAGCACAGGGAGGTTACATTCAAGGCTATTAAGACTTTTTACTGCCACTTGAAATAAATAAATAAAAAGTTATGACCAACTTCACAATAAACAAGAAAATCCTAGTAGCAAAAAATTTACACGAATGTATATTTTAAGCTAAACCGTTTTTGTTTTTTTTGACCCAGTAGAAATGGTTCAAATGTTTAAAAACCTTTGCTACATTTAATATCCAAAGAGCCATTTTGCTTTTTCAAAAAAACAACATATTTGTTTTTTTTTATCTCATATAGGAAATTAATTTCCATCTTAAAGGAGAATTCCGGTTTTTAACACTTTCAGCCCATTTTCTGTAGTGTCCAGGATGAAATCGAATGATCGACACCAAAATGTTGACGATTGCTCCTGTCTCTGCTTTTTGGCTCATTTAGAATCCCCCCCTGGCTGCTTCAGAATGGCTTCCATAGTGCATGTCCGATAATGTTCTTAAAACAACCTTAAACGTTCTTTTTTTAAAATATGCTACTCACCGGGTCGTCAGCGCTGTTCAATGACGTTCCAAAAAAAGTTTCGTGAAGAAAAACCGTTCCTGTCTTTTTTTATTTAGCATTTTGTAAATCCCAGAACTATTTTTTCCGATACATCACAACCGCTTATAAACTTCCGCTTCCCGTTCGAATCTGAAGCGTTGCACACTCCAGACCACTAGTTGGCGACGGTATCCTCTACCGTCAAACTCAAAGTCCAATATGTCCTCCTCAAGAATCCACCTTTCGTATTCCATTTTCAGAGTTTCTTAAAGTGTTTCACAGAGACGTTAGCACCTCGACGTCGGAGTACACAGAGTGAAGCAGAAACACTTGGGCCTTGCGAAAAGACTACAACTAAGCGTAAACAGGCCCCATTTCCGTTTCCGGTGGCGGAGGGATATTGACTATTCCAACAGAACTCAATGGGATTTACAAAATGCTAAATAAAACACTACAGGAACGTTTTTTCTTTACGAAACTTTTTTTGGAACGTCATTGAACAGCGCTGACGACACGGTGAGTAGCATATTTTAAAAAAAGAACGTTTAAGGTTGTTTTAAGGACATTATCGGACATGCACTATGGAAGCCATTCTGAAGCAGCCAGGGGGGGATTCTGCATGAGCCAAATAGCAGAGACAGGACCAATTGTCAACATTTTGGTGTCGATCATTCGATTTCATCCTGGACACTACAGAAAATGGGCTAAAAGTGTTAAAAACCGGAATTTTCCTTTAAACAACCAACAATTTATTTGCTTTAAAAAAATATTCAAAACAAAAATTCCAAGCTAATTAAAAGATAATGGCTCTAAAAACATATTTCAGTTTTTTTTTATGTCCTTCTTATCCTTCTTATAAAAAAAACACTAAATCTTTTAAGACTGATATTTATGTTATAGTAGCTTATTTAGCTCTTCATATAGATTTTAGCCACTGTTAGGAGCTGCTGTAGAGGGTCCAACAAGCAGCAGGTTGCAGTAGATGAACGACCAAACGTTACCCAGAGGTTTGGTGCTACTGGTGCCGTTGCTGAATATGCTGTGGAGGCGTTGCAGAGACGAGGCTGGAACCGAGCACAGAAATACCTGCTGCTATGATTTTGACGCTTCGCATGTCTGACTCCATTGACCAGATTCGCATCGTGCCTCATCTACCTTCCCTGGTTCTGCAGGAAACTCTTTTCGACTATTTTCATTGAATTTATACTTCGCCACGTTGTCCTGATAAAAAGTTGGCTGCGCATCGCTCCAAGGTCAAGGTAGGGCTGCAACTAACCGTTATTTAGCAAATTCATTATTCTGTCCATTGTTGTTTAGATTAATAATCAGAGAAGAAAGTGTTTTACAAAATTAAACTAGATAAAAGTAAAACTTTTCCCCTTGAGGAGTTCTGCATGACAGATGAAAAAGTTCATTTAACTTAAACGCTAAATGTTTATACATTTTTGAACAATTTCCGTATAATCCCTGCTCTCAGTGGGTCGTTCTGTCAGATAAAGGCTTGTTTTACAGTCTCTATACTCCAGTTAACCGTGGATTACTGAATCAGTTGACAATCATTTCAATCATCGATTAATTAACTAATACATTTTGTTCACCCCCTGTTCGGCCGCAGGATCATTTTTATTGGTTCCGTTATCGGGACGGTCACAGCAAGCCGTTTGCTAAATGTAAAAAAAAAAAAAAAGGCAATTATTTTAATATTTTATACGGATTACATAAAAAAAAAACACTATTTGTGACGTGGTAACTATTTTAAGACATTTTAATACTAATTGAGGTCTCAGTTTGATATGAAGGAATTTGAAGCCGGCTCTGACGTTTCATTCACCGCTGTAATGGATAATGATGCAGAATAAAACCTGAGACGAACTGATTGATTTGCGTTTTTTTTACATCTAGTACAACTCATCTATGACTCTGTTGAAAAAAGGTTTTTTATCTCAACAAAAACCGGACTTTTATTTTGCCATGGTATCAAGCAGAAAGCATTTTTCTGTGTATTACTGTCGGTAAGGAACCACGGTCCGCTTCACCGTCCGTCGTCTCCTCCTGCTTGAGGCTCTTACCTCGAACTGAAGCGGCGTGTTGCAGCGGCTCGTGGGCAGCGACGGCATCGGCGAGCAGACCACGCCGTTCAGCAGCAGGGGGCCACGGAGGGAGGGCAACAGCGGGTGAAGCGAGTCTTCGGGGAGCGGTGGCGTGATGGGCGAGAGCGGACGGAGCAGGTGGTTCAAGGATGCCGGCGTGGCCTCGGCGGCGTACTTATGCTGCCGCTTTTTGAACGGTGTGCTGATGTCTGATAAAGAAGAGAGGAGAAAAGTGACAGACTGCTGCACCCTTAATGCACCAGAGAGCGTCATCACAGATCCTTCCTCCCAGCAGGAGATCTTTCTGCTGCTGTAAACACCAGAACTTCCCCACAGTGGGACAATAAAGGGATTTTCTACTCTATTCTAAAATATAACATGAATGCGTTCACATGGGGGGGGTCATAGGAGGAGGGACGCCTACCGCTGCAGAGGGGGTTGGGGGTTGAGCGGCTGCTGGTGCTCTGCTGCGATGAAGTGGACTCGGTACCGTCCTCCAGGCTGGTGGAGCAGCTCTCGTCCTCCACCTGTTTGATCCATCTCTGCATGGCGACAACAACAGCATCAAGTCAACATGTGACGGACGGCCCGCCGGCTAAACAATAACAACACTTTTTATTTGGTGCACCTTTCAAAGCACTAAAGGACACTGTACAAGTATAAACAATGAACACTGTCATCATTAGGAGAAACAACACAAACGAAACACAGGAAACCAATGGGTTCCAATTTTTTAATAATCCCGGGGAGGGGGGGGATGCACACCGAGATAAATAGTCATCCAAAGTGCTGAAACGAGCGGACGGAACGAGGTGAGCAGCAGAGGAAGGTCTAAGTATGAGAGACGGAGTCATTTGAAGTAAATCAGAGAGATATGGAGGGAAAGGTTTGGGTTAAAAGTTACTAACAGGATTTGAAATGAATGAACTTGAGAGGAAGCCTGTGGAGCTGCTGTAGGACTGGGGGGGTGTGATGGAAGGAGGGGGTTCTAGAAACGATGCCTGCTGCTGGGTTTGATGGCATGAAGCTTGTTTAAGGATTTTTGAGGGAGACCAAAAATAGAAGAGTTAGAGTAATCGACGTGAGAGGGGAAAAGACTATGGATAAGAGCAGAGATGGAACCATGGGGGAGCGAGAGGCGAAGGTCATTGATTCTGCCTCAGAGAAAGTAAGTAGAGCGAGAGTAATGTGAGAGGAAAAGGACAGCATACTATCAGACTCCTGACCTGGGGTGAGGGAGGCTTTAAGGAGTTTATCAGGTGGAAGGGAGAAACTGTCAGCTGTGGATAATTTAGATCTGGTTCCCACTAGGAACATTATTTCATTTATCAAACTGGAGGTGAACCAGGATTTATTTTGGCTAATCATGAGGTTAATGAAGGAGGTGGGGCTAACGTTAGCCCGTCTGCAGCGGCCCTCTCTCTGCATACCCGTGTGTGAAGGACCGCTGGCTCTGATGGTGATATTTTTATTTTATTTGGCAAAATGTTCATTTGATTTGTGTTTATCTGTCTGTGTTCATTATTATTCACCCACTAAATGAAAAAAGTCAATTTATTTTTATGTAGAGACCATTAATAAATGAAATGCAGCTCCAGACTAGCTTTGAATGTGGTGATGTCATCAGGACGCTTCTGTTCCAATTGACCCAGATTTATTCTGCGTGCTCCCGTTCTCCCCCAGTCCAGACTTTCCTGGAACACGAGTCCATAGTCGTGTGCTAAGGGAGTGAGTAACGAGCCGATGGAGAAGGGTAGCGTGGGAAACTGTCAAAGCGCTTAGACTAAGAAGAATGAGGACTGAATCTGGACCCAGAAGCTTCTGGATCCGTTAGAATAGGCGGCTCAGGTCGGACCTTTTTGTAGCATCCATAGGTGCCGTCCGTCTGCAGTGGGCGGGGCCGCCGTCTCTCGGGGGTGAAGGGGGAGCCGAAGCGGACGTAGTGTCGGGGGGCGGTGCAGATGAGCGATGAGTGAGACAGGCCAGGCAGCATGTTGAGGGTGGTGGCCAGCACCGTGGGGTCCGTGGTGATCCGCAGGGGCCGCTCCGCCGGCCCTTCCAGGGGGACCTTCTCACCTGCGGGGACCTTGTCGTTCAGCCACTCTGTGACGAGGTACTGAGGAAAAAAACGACAAACAAACCATCAACTACCCCGCCACAGAGCGACGGCGATCTGCTGAAAGGAATCATCTAGAAAGTTCTGACCTTCTTGGTCTTGGGGTAGCGCACGCCGCCTCTGTGTATGCTGCTGGCCCCAGGGCCATCTCCGTCAGGAAGATGGCCCCCCTGACCTGCGTCTGTCAGGCCGTGTTCGGCTGCGTGTTGGCTCTGGGACCCCTCATCGTTCAGAGCAGCCCCCTGATCCGCCGCCGCCTGCGCCGAAGACATGGCCGCCGCCGCCGCAGCGGCCGCCGCCTGCTGGGCCAGGGCCTGGCGCTGCCGGCGAGCACGCTGTGACGAGCTGGAACGGTAGCGCGATATCCGGCTCTTGGGTCGAGGTTTGGTGGGTCTGACAGGTTTAGGCGGAGCAGCCGGGGCTGGGAGGGCGGGTGCTGGTGTTTTCTCCTCAAGAGGAGGGGTCTCCTGTAAGGGGGGGGGGGGGGGGGGGGGGGGGGGGGGGGGGCATCTTAAAAACCAGCAGCAGGAAAAGCGTCGAGTAGAGAAATGCAGCAGCTCCTCTGACTCACCGTGAAGTAGGTGGTCCGCCTTGTGCTGACTCCCACCCCGGAGCTGTAGGGGGCAGCGGAGGCCTGTGGGGGGGTCCCTGCCCCGTCCTCCACAGCCTCGTCCTTCACCTCGGCTCCTGCAGCTGCTCTCTGGCTGCCGGGGGCCTTCAGGAACAAGCAGAGCAGCGTTTAACGTTTCACATCATTTCAGATTCCAGGAGATAAATCTACTGCTAAGGATTAATAATCAGTTTCATTCTAGACTGGCCCCCAGGGGCCCCGTTTACTCATCAAACAGGGAAGGAGGAGAATATCGTACTCTTTTACTACAGCTGCTCCCATTTTCATCTGCGTCTCTCTCCTCCACTTTCACCACGTTTGGCGCTCTATCCTAAAAACAAACATTTGCATTAAACATAGAGCGTTAGAAAAAAACAGCATTAGCTTGTAGCTAACTTTGCTAAATATGTGAAGAAGAAGACATTGAGCCCGAGACCATCGACAATAAAGAAGTGGAACCGCATTCAGCTGGGGGCGGGGCCTAATGTTTTTCAGCACCATCGACCTGCTAACAACTAGCAGCTGACTGTGGTCCAGGGTGGACAGCGTTAGCCCCGCCCATATTTAACACCACCTGCAGGCTGGACTTTTCCAGTTTCCAGTGAAAACATTGACCTCAGAGTCAGAGCAAACCATCATCTCACGGCTGGTCCTCCACACATCTATCTATCTCTGTTTATGGGACATTTCCCATGTATTTATTTCATGAAATGTTAATTCCTTTTTGTCCCTTCAGGCCTCCATAGAAACATCCCTTTCAGTAGTAAAGCAGGACTATGTTGCTGGAGAGGTAAAGGTCTTTTCATGGCCTGTTAGACCTGAACACACCTCAGGGTCACTGACTCCCTGCAGATCTCTGCTCTCCAGGACTCGGGGGCCGTTGCTGGCCAGGCAGTTCTCCAGCTCCTTCCTCTGGGCTTTTCTTCGTCGCGTCTCGGCGCCGACGGCGGGGGAGTGAAGAACCAGGGCGGCGGGGCTGAGGAAACTCTCCATCGGGCTGAGGTTGTGCTTCTGCACCGGGCAGTTCTGGTTCCCCTTATGGCAGGCGCAGTCCACCTTGTAGTTGCTAGGGAACGAGAGGAGGTCAGAAGCAGCTGCCAGGGGGACGGGGAGCGGCTCTGGAAAGCAGGAACTCACCAGCTGTTGAACTCGTAATCGAACCCGATGGTCACCTCAGAGTCCTTTGCAATCTGACTGGTGGCATAGATGCAAAGATGGATCATCCCCTCAGCAATCATGTGTCGGACCTTTGAAAACAAAAGTTTTTTATGTAATGTAGAATCCTGCTTCTCACGTATAAAGCCTTAAATAACCAAGCTCCATCTGACATCAGAGAAAACAATGGCAGCCCACTGCTCCCCAAGGGGATGGTTTAAATGCAGAGTGAATTTCATTGCTTTGTACTTGTGACAGTGGAATTACTATTCTATTCTATTCTATGATTGTTCCTCCATGAGGCAGACACCCTGTCTACTTTTAAGGCAAGGCTTAAAACTTTCCTTTTTGATAAAGCTTCTAATTAGAGTGGCTCAGGTTATCCTGAGCTATCTCTATAGTTCTGCTGCTATAGGCTTAGACTGCTGGAGGACATAGGGACCCCTTTTTCATCATTCTGCTTCACTCTATCTCCATTCTCCCACTCTGCAGAATCTGTTAGTTCAATCTCTAACGTTCTGCTCTCTCTGCTTTTCCTCATAGTAGCTTCATCTGGTCTGTTCCTGTTTGGCTGTGACTCCATCCTGGAGAGAAATATCAGCTGTGTTGCTGCCATCAACAGCTGTTTTAAATTAGTGCTTTATAAATAAACTGAATTGAAATAATGAACAAATCTAAGGCAGAGAAACTAGGTGCAGAGAAGCTGCAGGTGACCAACCTCAGCGTTCGGGGTGCAGGACCTCCTGATGAAGCGGGCGTTGTTTCCAAACGTTCTTGCATCAACACACATGTCAACGTCGTTAAATTTGGAGTAGAACAACACGAAGGGATAAGGCCTGAAAAAAAAGGAAAGGAATGAAGAAGAGCAAAGAGGGACGGCTCAGCCATGCTGGGATCAGATCAGAGGGCTTACTTTTTGAAAAAATGCCCGTTGATTTCAAACTGCTGCCTGAGCATGACCTTCCCCCGGTACTCGATGATCAGCATGTCTGGCTCCAGGTTCCTGGCCGCCCTGAGGATCTTCCTGTGTTTTTGGACTCGCGTTACCCGTCCCAGCTGCAGCTGCAGGGGCAGAAACTCATTTAGTCCTGTTCTAATTAATCCAGCATCTTCCCTCACGGCTGAATCGCCCCACAGGATGTAGCTGACCTGCATCTGCGAGCCCAGCACCGTGTTGTTGCAGGCCAGCTCGGTGCGGTTGATGGTGTCCATGCCGTTGATGGAGGCGTGGATCTGGGTGTTGGAAGGAGGCGTGGACGTGTCGCGCTCCACCTTGGAGACGGAGGAGCAGGCGGAGCGGTGGAGCTCCAGCAGCGTCTGGATGTCAGCGCTGTACTGGTTGGACAGAGCCTCCTCGTACTGGTCGGTCCACTGGCGGATGCGGTTCTCCCAGCCCTCTGCCGTGTTCTCATCCAGCACGCTGGCCTCGGTGGGGGAGTTCTAGACGACAGGAGAGGTGCTGTGAGGAGAGGCTAAGGGTGGGAGGAACAGTGAAAGGTGGCGTACGGCGCTGAAGGCGCCCTCACCTTCATCCTCATCGATTTCCTTGAACCTTGTCTGAAAGCCTGAAACAGAGAAGCCCAAGCAGCGGCTCTTAAAAACACTTCAAATGTTTGGCATCCAAAGCTGCAGGTAAAGGTTACTTTTGACCATTTGCAGTAAAAACCAAACGACTTTCTCTCGTTTGGAAAAATAGCACAGAAAAAATAAGTTTATTTCATAACTAATGCATATTTTGTAGAGCCAAAACAAGATTTTATCATATAAATGCCTTGATTTGATTTAAAAAAAAAAGCAGAACCTTAAAGGGGAACACAGTTTGTTTTTTTTCCACATACTTGATTTCCTGTTATTCCATCATGTTCTATCATCCATATGAGTTTAGTGTCATTTGGAGCCGTTCTGAAGATATTCCGTTATATCCAGTAACGTCTTCCTATGGGCAACGACTTGAAGGCACAAACTAAACTGTTCATCATTTATTTTAATAAACAACATTCATAACATGTTGGCCAATCACTGTCGCCCAGACATCCAAGGTTATATTTTTTATATTTATATGTTTTAAAAACAAAGCGGTGCGTGTCTGACATCATCCGCACGCCGGACTGGAGGTGTGACAGGCAGCCCGGGCCGCAGGCGGCTACGCTCTACCCCTTCTATTCATTCTAGCTAATCTGAATCGTTCACGTGGAGAGCGAGATCATCTGTGGTAGCAGCACTAGACATCTTCCAGGCATGTGAGGAAAACTAGCAGCAGTTCAGCGGACATGATGAATGAAAGGTAGCCGGTGTGCGCAGATGACATGATACACACTCCACTAGGGCTGCAACTAACGATTATTTTAAAAATCGATGAATCAGCCGATTATTTTTTCGATTAATCGATGAATCGGACAAAAAATATTTTTTATATTAACCTCTTTATTCCAAAATAAACATTTTATTCAGAACAAACAAGCACACAAGTACAGGTTGCTCATTAACTGTACTGGTGCAATATGAAAAATAAATGTTAGTGTTAAAACTACGCAAACTTACATGAGAAATGTAGCTGTACATCCACAAAATATAGGCTACTTTGTTTCATAAAGCGCTAAAAAAGACATTTTTGTTTTTAAAGCCCCTAAGGGGTTCAAACAATAGGCCCCCCCATTTCAACAAATGAGGGTTTTTAGACTAGAAGAGTTCTGCCTTTTAAGACAGGAAAGTATAGCAGTTAAAGTTGCTACTTGAGAAAATACTGAACCATAGAGATAAAAATAGCCTGTGATTCAAATTATAAATTGTATTTGGAATAAAAATGAGAGAACTAGGGGTGCTAAAAAACACATCCTCCAAAGACAGATATTTACATGGGAATGTGGCAGATAATTAATTGACATATTACTGATCTTGCTGGATTTTATTCTGCTTTACTTCCATAAATTGCAGGATCCTCTTTACTTTATCTTTGCCAGAAGATTTAAACTTTAAAAGCCTTGCCCTCATAATTTGCAAGTTAATTTATTTATAAAGAAAATATAAACGCTGCTTAAGCTAATTCAAATGAAATTAAAAGTAAAATAAGTAGCCAACCTTATCCCTGTCTGTAACCTACTAACACGGTAAGGAAAGCATCAGATGAGCTACCTGAGAAACTAACGTTACGTTTCCCCACTTTAAAACCAAACAAACATGGCCGCTCATCCTGCTGATCAGCTCTCTTCACTGCCATTGAAGGCTCCAACGTGTTTCCTTTTCAGGTGCTGCATCATAACAGCGGTGCTTCCGTGCCATGTTCATTTGTTTTTACAAAAGTTGCATGTTACGACTTTTTTCACTTTACAAAGCGCAGGCTATTTTAATTATTGTGATCAATTTGCGCCGTCAATCCCGGCGCGTGCGCGCTTCATTTGCAGTCTGGATGCTGAGGGTAAACATCCTGCGGATCAGACTGCAGCGCTGAGAGGGACTCCTGCGGGAGAACGGGGTTGGGATGGGGGAGGCGCCCCACGGCAATGACGACGGCGGCGGATGACGCATTAATCGCGCGACACAACTAATCGATGATGAAATTCGTTGCCAACGCTTTTAAAAGTCGCATTTTATCGATTCGTTGTTGTAGCCCTACACTCCACTTTGTTTTTAAAAGATATAAATATAAGAAATATTCCCATGGATGTCTGGGGGACAGTGATTGGCCTCCATGTTCTGAATGCTGGCGTACCATAAAGAATAAATGATGAACAGTTTAGTTTGTGCCTTCAAGTCGTTGCCCATAGGAAGACGTTACTGGATATAACTTCAGAAAGCGCGTTCACGACGCTACGGAAACCGCGGCAGACCAAACCAGATGAAAGTGCGCATTCAGCTCGGCAAAGAACTCATGCTCTTCCTCAACACTGAAGTCCTCAGACATTTTTCTTTCGTTGTTTCTTTCTTTGCACAGGTAAACAGCACATTTCTTCTTCTACGCTTGCATTATCGGCAGAGCAGACGCTGAATGCGCACTTTCATCTGGTTTGGTCTGCCGCGGTTTCCGTAGACTGGTGAACGCGCTTTTAGGAAATCCTATACACTACTGTTTATGCTCTAAAAACATTCTAAATGACTTCGTTTCGAGTAAATTCTGGACGCTACCCACTCAGGACACTTGGAATACATTGGACGAGCAGTATGGAGGAATATTGACACGTTTTTTGTGGACTTTTATGGACCTTTCTGCCTGGGGCGCCATAGACCTCCATTATTTGAATGTCAGCAGACAGCAAGAAGCCTCCCAGATCTCCAGATGCATTTGAGATATCAAAAAAGTACTCCAGAGTGTTGTTCAGCATGGGGGGGGAGTAGAAAATGAAGGCTAAGCATGTTTTGGGTGTACTATTCCTTTAAATGTCCCGCAAGCGCAGTAGAGGACGCCATGACGTCACATGCCAGCGCGCTCCGTGTTTATGGAAGTAAACATGGATGGTAGCGCTGGAGAACATCTAATGAGAACATCTATCATTCCGAACCTTAAAAACTCAATCTTTTCAATATAGTGATAAATACTGCTCTCCGCATCATTGTCCGCCATGGCTGGTGTTTTTCTTACAGAATAGTGACCTTTGTCGGCTACTAATGGCGTTCAGGTCGGATGGATTATGGATTCAGGACCACAGAGCCAAGTGGCCTGGGTTGCTTTGGAAAGAATTGAATCGGTTTTGTTCAGACTGTCATGAAAAGATCAGATCCAGGTTGCATATGGGGGGGGGAATCAGGTCTGGGTCACCAACAGCCTGTCTGTAATGGGAACGCAGTGGTGGCGCCATCATGGGCCGGGGGAAGCTGGGAGCTAAATGAAGGCTTGAATGGGGCGACGACGCAGAACATTCAGCCAGAACAGTCTAGATCTAATCTTACTAGAAGGTCTGGTCAAAGTAAGGAGCTGAATTGTAAAGAGAATGAGAGCTATTTGGGGACGGCCCTTCTTTCAGGCCACGGAGCTTCCGTAGTACCTTGAGCTTCTTTGGCTTCGGCGTTCCTCTGCTTCTCTCGGTGCTCTTCTTCCTCTTCTTGGATTTGCTCCTTTTGACTCGGTTCACGGTCAGTTTGATGCTGGTGGGTGTGTGCTGGGTAGCTGTGTAGGAGATGGTGGAAGGAGACACCTCTTCATCCCCGCTTTCTGTCGCACTGCTCTCTCCAGCTACAAAAACAAAGCAAAGCTTCATTTAGCACACGATTGAAGCCGAGCATGTTTTTATGGTTCCAGACAGGATTCACAGCACCTGAGACGGTCTCCTGTTTTCTGTGGAGGCTCTGCACTCCTTTCCTCCTGTCCAGCTCCCTGCAACATCAATGCATCATAAAGGATCTGATGGACGTGATGTGTTGGTTTGTGCCAAACCCATTAAAGAATCAAAGCTATTTCATAAACTGTTCTTCATCTGAGTAAATGTGTCCAAATGCTGCTGCATCCAGATGGGAGCGGGGCCCGTTCTAACCTGCAGGAACACTTGACGTGCGCTCCGTCCGCCGTGGGGCTGCAGCGGCACCAACCGGCCACGGCGCCGTCCTCCTCCTCCGAGGAGCTGTCGCTGTCGGCAGAGTTGTCGGGTCTGGGTTCGTGATAATGGGAGCTGCGCACCATGCCATTGAGATCCATGCGGGGAATGATGGTTTGGGAAAGCGGAGAGGCGGGTGGGGTGGGGGGAGGGGGCGCGCCATAGTTGTGATCCTGACAACATACAACGGAAGACTGTTGCATCTTCAAACAACGGGTGTTCAGGCAGAAAGGGAAACGGAAAATGGAGACAAATGAAAATGAGGGCAAAACAACAGGTATGTGAAACAGTACAGCTGTTAATAACAGAGGCAGCCTGCAGGTACAGGAGGCTAATAGCAGGAGAGACCATCTGACTGCCAGTAGATGCATACTTTTACTCTTACACTTTAACAAGACCAGGCATTTGGAAAAGGATTAGAAACTCAAAGCAAAGCTGAGATAGAATAAAATTAGTTCTACTTTGACTAACTTCAATGATCATGATTGCAGCCACTGTATTAAGAACATGGTAACAGACATGCTACTGCAGAGGAGGAGAAGCTTTGTGAACTCACAGCATATGGTAGTCCCCGATACCCATGATTCTGTGCACTACCACAGCTGTGGCTGTTGCAGTTTTTCTCATTTACTGCAGGGCTTGCTTCAACTGACTCAGGGCTAAAAAAAAAAAAGAAACAAAGATATGAGGACATTTTCAGATTTCATCACAGACTCGGAGTAAAGGCCAGGTTATCCCCTGCAGCAGTGTGTCGCAGATATTTTGGATTTATGCTCAATATTGAAGCGTGGTCCTGGCCAATCAGGAACCAGCTGTGGGTCTAGATACGACCGAGGCGGTGAGGAAGTGAAGGCGAGTTTGTGTGACGACGGAGGGACATGAGGGCCAAAAAGAGCGGAGATCCAGGTGGACAAAGGGTCCCAGCGTTCTCACGCACCTCGCTCTTCTAGCTGCTCCATCTTCACCAGTCATTTTCCACAATGGCGGTCAAACAAACAGAACAAGCATTGAGCATATCTGCGTTAACACGCAGACAACCTGGTTTCTGAGCATAAACCAGTCTGAAGACAGAGCAGTCTAGGGCTAACACTAGAGGGCGCCAAAGCACTGAGCATCAGCCACTAGCTGCTGTTCCATTAAATACACACCAAATAACTGCTGCACTGGGAAAATCTAAATAAGGCATTTTTTCTTGAATTGAGGAGGTAATGAGACAATTTACCAATGGAACAATTGCATTGTCTCATTCTAAGGAATGCATACTTAGTTCTAGATCGTTTTGCAGTGTGTGTTTTCCTTAAAAAAGGTATGACAGAAAACTGAATCACTGGATATTTTTCCACCCCAAAAAACCTTGCTAATTTCTTGATGTTGAAAAGTTAAATTTCAAAAGTAAACTGAAATGATAACAGTTAAAAAAATTAAATTTAGATATTAGTCAGAAATCATCATAAAAGTCCATCCTCAAGTAAAGTGATCAGAAGAGGTTAGCATGCACTAACAGGTGTTTTGAGCCGTTTTCTGTTGGGCGTTTTGGTGAAAATCACATTAACGTGTCCAGATCCTGCAGCTGTCCTGCTGCTTCAAACATGTCCACCAGGCTCCACCATAAGGGTCTACCCCACACATGAAAACGACTTGTGCCTCGGCGTGAGGACGGGAAGCGTGATGAAAACGTTTCGACATGAAAGCATCAGCTATCTGCTCCTTTCCTAAGCAGCTGAGGTCCTTCTGATAAAGGACTAGAGGCCATTTTAAAGGAGATGCTACCAGATGCAGAGGTGCCTCTTGAATGTAGCCAATGGGAGCTGGCTCGGAGCTCGTCTGCCTGGCTGTGTGTTTCCTGGACGGGGGGGCTTTTTACAGTTGTTTTTTTGTATCATCTGCTTCTTTTTCTATGTCTGCTTCTGTCTCCTTGAACCCCAGTGGGCCTCAGCAGATGGCCGCTCACACTGAGCCTGGTTCTGCTGGAGGTTTCTTCCTGTTCAAAGGGAGTTTTTCCTCTCCACTGTCGCTACAAGCATGCTTAGTGTGAGGGATTGCTGAAGAGTCAATGAGTCGATGCAATCAGCTGGTTTTCCATAATTTGAAACTTTGAATCAATCTGACTGGATGATCTGGTGAACTAGAAAGTGACCTCAGATGACGTGTTATGAATTGGTGCTATAGAAATAGACCAAGTAGAATTGAACTACATTTGTTGGAAATGGCTGATTTAAAAATGTCCGCTCTCCCAAGCAGACTTAAAATCTCAGCAAAGGGAACTGTTGTCCTGGCTGAATAGGCGAGGTCTTCTGCTCCCCTGTAGAGGAGTTGTAGGTTTCTGAAAGCTGAAACCACCCTCTCTGTTTCAGGTTGGTGTTTCTGACATTTTCAATTGAAAAAGGTTCCTGGGTGGGAATAAAAACGTCTTCAAAATTGGAAACAAAGTCCAGTGGATTGTTTTTGAACTGAGCATCCTCACCAGCAAAATAAATAGATATTTGAATGATTGTTTTGTGTCTACTGTTTTCTCCAGTGTCAGGTTATTGTCTGATGTGTTCATATGTCGAGGAATTCAGTAATTCACTGTGAGAACACAAAGCTAAGTTCATTTAAAATCAAACAGCAAAGGAAGATCATCATAAGCAATACTAAAAGATTAATATATAATTTAATACTTGCAAACACACATCAGAGACATCTTTATAAAAAATTCATTTTGGTTTTTTGCCATTTTCTTGCATTTTTTTAACCTTATCAAGTTGAATTGGAAAGAGATTATTCATAAATCATTAAAAATAGGAATAGAAAAACATATTTCTATTATAAAATGCCAGGAAATAAACACAGGAACATGTTTGCTTTTACTTTGAAAGGCTTGGAATAAACTTCCGGTTCTGACAGTGCAGGAGAGGCACATAGCACAGGTCTGCAGCCAGACTCTAGTGGAGACTTTGGAGTTTTTTCCCTTTTTACATCAGAGATTGTGATGTAATCTCTGTAAATGGCAGAAATGTTCTGTTTTTCTTTGATCTATAATCTAAAATCTAGAATATGATAAAAAAAACAAGTGGTGCCATCATCCTCCTACTACTCCCTGTTCTCTTCTGAAGTCATTTTTTTGCTGGTAGGATCATCGGTTCATCTGAAACATTTTCATTTCATTTTTTTATGAAAAACAAACAAAAAAAAAACTAAACAGTGATACAGAAAAAAAAAATGTGCAAAAACTTTTTTTCTTTTCTTTTTTAAAAGGCGTCCTTTAATTCCAGCTGATGGAGTTCTATGGTGAACTCCAGCTCTGCGTTCAAACGGCCAGAGACAGAGAGAGAGCCGCTGCTAGCAGGATATCTGGAGTGAAACAGACGATGAAGGAGATAAAATGGAGGAAAAAAAATGGTGGCTGGTTTTCACTTACTCTGATCCAGCAGCCATATCCGAGTAAGACGTCTCAGGTGTGGTGACTCCCAGAGTGATTACTATGCTCATGACGTCCAGCGCGGCGACGCGTGGAGGTGGGGGGATGAGGGGGAGGAGGGGGAGGGGAAGAGGAGGGACAGGATGGGATGGGGGAGAGGAGGAGGAAGGAGGGAATCACAAGGTCCGATTTCTAGCAACAGACCACTCCGGACGGGAGGGCGCCGTTGAGCCGCAGCCCACGGCTCACGGTCATCAGGGACCTGAGGAGAGGAGAAAGAATGCTCAGAGGAATGGACAGCAGGGGGCGCTCTGTCAGACAGAAGGCTTAAAACATCCTCTCTGTTTCTGACAAATCAGACTATTCAGTGTTTTATCTCCTTAGAGAAAAAAAAAAAGAGTAATAAACAAGCTAGTTTTGGTTTTAATCCTCTGTTCTGAAAGAAGAACATAAATGTTGCAGCTGGTTGCGTCACACGATCGACCCGTTTAGCAGTTATAAGGAAAAGAAGCTAAAGGGTGATGACACCCTGAGCTATGGAAGGACAAAGTGAGCGCTGGCAAAAAGAAATAAAACATCTTGATTATCCAACAATCATCATAAATTATCAATCATCATGAACAGTAAATGTGATTTTCTATTCTAGTTGGATGTTATGGGTTGAACTAAAACTGGACCATGAGAGGAAAGAGATAGAATGAAGAAGGATGAGGAAGTGGGCCCCATGTTTTGGGTGTACTATTCCTTTAACATAAAGGAGAGGGAACCTGAGCTATTTAAGGCTGATCCTCTATATCCTCTGCTGCAGTTATACAGTACTCCAACAGGAGGCACTCTCCCCCCAAAGACCATGAGGACTGAGTCATCACTCTGCCTCCTGGTCATGTGACTGTGTGCTGCTGAAACACTGACTCAAACTCTGCCACTAACCTGCTTCTGTTGATTCTCCGACAGGAACTCGTTCAAAAACGTTTGCTCACTACCGGGTCAGCTAGTCACCACAGCGCCGTGTCAGTCCCTGACAGCCACACGCAGCCCTCTGGATGAGCGGCACCAGCATGGCTGACATGCCTGCTCTCATATTCCAGCTCCAAGGAAACCACAACACGCTGTCAGGTTCCTCCTCTGATTCATCCAATAGTGCAAATATATATATATATATATATATATATATATATATATATATATATATATATATATATATATAATATATAATATATAATATAAACACACACAAATATAAATATAGTTGCCTTCCTAAGCACTGAGTGTCTTTTTTCTGTTGCTCTACATGTTTGTTAAAGTTCAAGCATTTATTGATAACGTCTCCTTCTAGCTGGATGGATTACCGCTGCAGCGCTTTGTTTTATCACTCAAACTGTAATCCCATGAAATTAGAACTAATCCGATTGGATGATCAGGTTGAATTGTGTCTGTAAAATGCCCTAAAGTGACACGTGGTGTGAATTGGTGCTCTAGAAATAAACTGAAAAGAACTGAAAGTTCTTGGACTGCTATAAATAGCGGCCACGGCGGTGGACTCTCTGTAACTTTAACGCATCTCCTACTCAACCCTCAGAAAACCACTGCAGAGGTTAATAACGCTGCAGCGCTCTCTGATGTAGAAGTTACTATTCCAGATCTGGTGATTGGCAGGGGGGTGGGGGGTAATTGAGGCAGAACAGCCTCTTTTTATCTTCTCTCCCCCCTTACTTCCTTATTGACTGGCGTGGCTATGACGACCAGGCTCAGATTACCAGCAGGTTGAACACAGACAGACGGAGGCCATTTTAGAGACAAAGCAGAAGTCAAGCTTGTTAAAAAAAATAAATTTTAACAAATTCTTTACGTTTAAGGCACAGATCTGTATAAATGGGTATTACTGTAGCTTTACAGTCAGTTCTTCAGCAAAGAACTGTGCAACGGACAGTCATGACCTCTGACCTCAAGAAACAGATTTCCTCCATAAAATCACCCATGTTCCTGGAACTAAACATGATCTCTTCCTGCTCACAGCTTACAGCCAGAGCCACCCCCCCCCCCCATGAGCAAAGCTCCGCAGCCTTTACACCACCCCCCTCAGTCTGCTCCCACACACACAGCTGCCCTACAAGGAGCCGCCATGATAGGAATCTCGCCGTCTGCTCTGGCCTTAAAATGACTTATATGAGGCTAACATCTGGCTACAGCTGCATGCAGATCTAGTCCCAACATTAGCCACGCTGCACAAGCTACATCTTCAAAGTCTCACTACTTATTCCAATGGATGCCATGAGCTCATAGCTTCTAGAGTACAGAACTAATCATTAGTCCTCCATTTCCACAGGATGATAACCAAGAAATTTAGCCTAAATTTACAAACAGCGTTAAATGCTTAGTGATAGAATTAGTTACCAATTTGATGTTAATGTGCTCTCAGCAGAGCACATCCAGCATGAGATCAAAATATCAGCTTTTTAACCCTTTATAGGGCACTCTGTGAAATACTTTGAAAATCCCAATTCCAACAGTGTTACTGAAATCCAGAAAAATACCTTATTACATTTTTAACATTCCAGAAATGTGGATATTTTGATGGTAAAAATGTATGTCAATGTAATAAGAAACGCCAACTTGCTCGATTATATTAAGAAAAATAACAAAAGTGCAGAAATAAACACATTTTTTATTTTGGTTGAACATAATCTTAGAGGCAATAATGCTGATACTGCCGCTTTCATTATTTAATATATAAACCTTAATATAATTGTTAACTAGGCTTATTAACTTTTTAACTTTTAAATTTACCTTTTTTCTTGACCTGTTAACTTTTATTTTAAGTTAATCTACAGTAGGTAATATATAATTCAAGGAATCTAATTGGTCAAATGCCAAAATAAGATGTGCAGTCTTGTACCAGAATCTTTGCTGAATGGTTGTATATAGATCTTGTGCTTCTAGAGCTCACTGAGGGACGAGGGAAATTCATTTGTTAGGGGAATGCAAGTGATCAAAAATGCTAACGTTCCCTATAAACTAGTGTTGCACTGATGCCATTTTTTGGCCCCGATACTTGGCTGTGCATTATCGGCCGATACCGATACATCTGTTTAAATTGATGTGTGTGTTTAACCGCACATATGCTCAATGATGGTGGGGATTTTTTAATATTTTTATTAAATTAAACCTTCATTTCCACATGTTTAGGTCCAATGAATTTAACGATGATATCCCGCATGCTCTCCTCGAGCTCTGAGGAAGTCTGAGCGGAGCGAGCAGGATGGGGGAACAGTGGAGGCTGAAGGCTTTGCTTTGGGCAGGCGGTCTGTAGCGCAGTGGGGGGTGGGGGGGAGACGTGGGATTTCAGGTTCAGGGCCCGAAATGAAAGGTTTCACTCACAGGCCAAGTGGAGCGGAAGGTTAAATTATTTACCGGCTAGAAAAAAAATAATGATTCGCTCGCAGTTATTTTAAAGGAAAATATTATTTCACTCAGGCATTATGTTAAATGTAGGGCTGCAACAACGAATCGATAAAATCGATAAAAATCGACTTTTATAAGCGTTGGCAACGAATTTAATCATCGATTAGTTGTGTCGCGCGATTAATGCGTCATCCGCCGCAAGTGAAAAAAGTCGTAACATGCAACTTTTGTAAAAACAAATGAACATGGTGCGGAAGCACCACTGTTATGACGCAGCACCTGAAAAGGAAACACGTTGGAGCCTTCGATGGCAGTGAAGAGAGCTGATCAGCAGGGTGAGTAATCATGTTTGTTTGGTTTTAAAGTGGGGAAACGTAAGTTAGTTTCTCAGGTAGCTCATCTGATGCTTTCCTTACCTTGTTAGTAGGTTACAGACAGTGATAAGGTTGGCTACTTATTTTACTTTTAATTTCATTTGAATTAGCTTAAGCAGCGTTTATATTTTCTTTAAAAATAAATTAACTTGCAAATTATGAGGGCAAGGCTTTTAAAGTTTAAATCTTCTGGCAAAGATAAAGTAAAGAGGATCCTGCAATTTATGGAAGTAAAGCAGAATAAAATCCAGCAAGATCAGTAATATGTCAATTAATTATCTGCCACATTCCCATGTAAATATCTGTCTTTGGAGGATGTGTTTTTTAGCACCCCTAGTTCTCTCATTTTTATTCCAAATACAATTTATAATTTGAATCACAGGCTATTTTTATCTCTATGGTTCAGTATTTTCTCAAGCAGCAACTTTAACTGCTATACTTTCCTGTCTTAAAAGGCAGAACTCTTCTAGTCTAAAAAAAACTCAGTTGTTGAAATGGGGGGGCCTATTGTTGGAACCCCTTAGGGGCTTTAAAAACAAAAATGTCTTTTTTTGCGCTTTATGAAACAAAGTATCCTATATTTTGTGGATGTACAGCTACATTTCTCATGTAAGTTTGCGTAGTTTTAACACTAACATTTATTTTTCATATTGCACCAGTACAGTTAATGAGCAACCTGTACTTGTGTGCTTGTTTGTTCTGTCTAAAATGTTTATTTTGGAATAAAGAGATAAATATAAAAAAATATTTTTTGTCCGATTCATCGATTAATCGAAAAAATAATCGGCCGATTCATCGATTTTTAAAATAATCGTTAGTTGCAGCCCTAGTTAAATGCAAACAAAGTCACAGTAAAAGGTGATTTAGTTTTATTAAACGAAGCTATTATTTAGAATTTCATTCAAAAAGGTACAAAATACTTTGATTTGGTAAAGTGATCATAAATAAAACCATTAAAAAGTTCATAAATCAAAGTATAGCCTTTCTGGCAGCAGCATGGTCGGTGCAGAACAATATGTCCATCAGCTGCAGCATTTACTCCGTCTGTGTCTGTTTTGCTTATTTGCTGCACACCGATGAACTCTTTAGCATAGTCATACATGAGCCAGTCTCATATGGTCTCCTCAAAAGTTTTTATTTATGTGATCCAGTAAAATGTGAGACACGGTTTATTTCATAGGACACAGGGGGAGAAGCGGGAAGGTCTGCTCTCTCTATACACTCTGCCATCAGTGGGACATAGGGGGCCTCCGTCAGGTAGGCAGCACCAGCAGAGGTGGCGCTGCCTACATGTTGCAACATTAGATGCAGCCAAACAAACAAACACAATCATTGCACAAGCCAGTAGAATAATGCAAGGTAATGAGGCTTCAACCACAAGAGGCCTGGCAGCCATTTTAACCCCTGGAGGGCCGACTGGCCCCCACATGACTCTGCTCCTCCAAACTGAAACCATCTCAGAAAGAAACTGATTGTTTATGTCGTC